AATAATAGTAATAATAAGGTAATTGCAGTGTCGTAATAACGTGTCCGATGTAAAATTTATAGCGCACAGCTTGGTGCACCGAATCCTTTTAACCGAACGCTCAAAAGGATTGTCTGATTGAAACGATCATTTCCATTTCTCGTCATCCTCCCCGTTCCGATATTTCGCTTTCTCTTATCTCATACCAATTAACGTTAGTAAAATATCCTGCTATTCGGTAGAATAAGATTCTGTTATTGCCGAGCACAGTACACGATGCATCTTTACGCGTAGAATTCCAAGTCTGGTCACCATACACCTTCGTCAAGAGAAACTCGATCATCGCTGATCTCCGAACGTTCATATACTTACATAGAATTCGAGAGAGAGAGAGAGAGAGAGAGAGAGAGAGCTTTATATATACCCGTACAACATTGATAATCCCTTCGATTTACAACAATTAAGATTCCGCAGTGAAAATCAGTTCCCGTGATATGTATACTGAATCCTTTTTTTAACTCCTGCAGCACACACACACACACACACACACACGCTGATAAAAAGTCTATTCATCGTTTCCTGCTGGAGTACGAGCGATCGAACGGTCAAAGAACTTCGATTCATGACATTTGATTCGTACATTTGATAAACGAGCAACGACGCGTCGTCACTCGCTCAGATGGATCACAGCTATCATTTTCGTTTGATTACTCGGTGCATACAACATGTTCGTTTAACGTCGGAGCCTTTAGTAAAATATCAATTATTTATAATGTGTATATCATCGATTCGTCCATAAAATATTTCTACATGCCACTCGTTTCGTTACAGACATTAAACTTTTATCAGACAGCAAGAGATGATGAAGTGAAAAGATTCGCCGAATCAGTATTATCGTTATTATTATTATTATTATTATTATTATTATTATTATTATTATTATTCGTTTGTGTAACAATGTTCGCCCAAATGGTGACCTCGTCGTTAGTTACCGTTTGTTCTACAATTGCAACACGCTCGTAGACTCTACGTTACGGCAATTTTTAGGCGTTTTCAGAATTATTCATCTCGATTTTTCCCAGAGAATTTCATGCAACATTACTTTTACTTTGTTCCAAAATATGATATGCATAAAATTTTTATTTATTTCCACATTGACATCGACTCGAAGGCACTAATAAGGCCTTTATTCCCCCGCAGATGCGACAAGAAGCTGAACAGAATTTTCGATACAATAAAATCGTGGGAGATCCTCGTTCTATCTCGATATCGATACAATTTTCAAGAGATATTGCTCGTCAATGGAAGTTCTAAAACGACGATTTAAATCCCAGCGAAATAAGTGTTCGATCAAGACTAGAGACGTGCATGCAGAGGGACACGAATGATATTGTCACGTGACTAAATATTCGCGGATCGGCGATGCAGCACCTCCCGGTCCGATACATTTTCTTTTCTTTAATACTGTTTCACAATATTCTTGCAACACGCACCTCTCAGACGCATCCTTCAAACGCTTGAAAATCGAACGATCGCTTCATTACTATCGTCATCGTCGTACACGTTCCGTTTTATATTAACGTCGTCCTCGTCGTTGTCGTCGTCGACGATTGATAAATTGTGCGAAGTAATCAGACCGTGTTTCACAGACACCGAAAACGGGTGACACTCTCGCACCGTTGAGCGCGTAAAATTTTTTAAAAAGAAAACACGAGTAAAAACAAATCGATTAATGGGGCATCTCCCACTGCTTCTCGTTTTCTTTTTACGATATGTTTGATCACAGTTACGTGCAGAATTAAAATACAATAATGCGATGATAATACGAAATAATGATGAGTGCTGCGCCAGCCACTAGATATTTTTACAAATAAAAATAAATGCTACAGACTAAATGAGACGTGTTCGTGCGATAAATAAAGTGTTCCCGTGTTTTACTAATTCATAGTAAAGCACAGATCATTCCGTGAACTCTTGTGACAAAGAATGAAAGAGAGAAAGAGAGAAAGAGAGAAAGAGAGAAAGAAAGAAATGAAGAAAGAGAAAGAGAGAAAGAAAAAGAGTCGATCCGAACAAAACCGTTTTAACTTTACATAAACACGTCGAATAAACTCTTTCCTTAAATATGAGCCCGACTTTTCTTTTTTTTTAAATTAAAGCTAATGTACACGTTTCATGACTTAGCCTACGCTAGAACCGATGCGTTCCTATGGTGCAAAAGCTAGGTAAGCCCGCACGTTTATACGCCCGTGTTAATTTTATATTAAACACTTTACTATTTACATGTTCACCCTAAAAAGCAACAACGATCCGAGACGCGACGGAATCGCGATGACAAACGTTACCGATCGCATCGAGAACCTCTTCGAAACAAGTGTTGGATTAAAAATAATTTTTAACACCGACGTAAGAACGTTACCGTCTGTCTCTCACGAACGTCATTAGAACGTTTTGGAAACTCGTCACGCGACGAACATCGAAGGCGTTCAAGGCGACCATGCGTATTTCACGTTTTGACATCGATCACCGTGGCCGGATCGAAATAATACAAGATTCCCAGCGTCGTTCACTAACAGACGATTCGACTATAACGGCGTGAGTATATATTCTTAAGGTGTTGCTAAACTCTATCGTTCGAAAGATCGTTAAATACGGTTAACTGACCGTGCACATCTTAATCACGTTCACGATCCAAGAGAAACTGTAAGCTTTCGAGTATGAAATACATTGTCCCCGCTGATTCGATGTTCATTTAACGCAATTTATGCAGCAATGAGATTCTTAAAATGAACAATTATTCTCCTCCTATTCGTTTAACATAAAAGATTAACAAGAGCGTATTCATGATCGAACAATGGTTTTCATCGCGTGAAAGGATTCATTTTCTATACGTATTTGTGCATGCATGACTTTTATATTTTCCATCGTCCCTTGGAAACAGCCGAGTCGATTCTTCGGTGACGATCTTACAAGTAAATCGTCCAGCCTACGGAAAACACGATTAATGTAAACGAAATCGAGAATGTAGGCCAATCCGGGTAGACGTCGAACAAGTGGTGACTCTTCCATTCTCTATCGGTCGTCGAACAACGAATGATCAAAGAGGAATTTAACCAGAACTTCTGAGGAACCGTTCGTCGAAGAATTCGCGGACGAAGCATGGAAAGCTCACAAGAGCGTAATTCGCACGCGTAAGTCTGTCGATCGACGATCGTTCCGAAGCCGTTGCAGACGACCGACCGTCAAGGCCGTTCGTTCTTTTGTACAAAGACACATTGGCCAGAATCGTGTTTCCGACGTCGCTCTCGACGACGTTCTTATTCACGTCTCCGCGCAATGACGTCACCGCTCTACTAGCTCTTCCCGTAACCTCGTCTGTCGAAACGTCGCCTCTCGGTACTGCAAAAGCTAATTTTTAATAGTTTAACGACAGTAAAGTGTCTGTCGGCGAATATTTTTTCCTAGTACGAAATGGACGTGGACGATCTCAGTGATTGCACATGAATATGTGAATGCCAAAGGACAGTAAACGAGAAAACTTCATATTTTCTTTACCCATTACTCAACAGCGAAACCGCACGTTTCTTCGACCGCTTGCGTCAGTTTGTCTAGCATCTTCTGATAGCTGGGATAATTCTCTGGAATATCTATCCTATTGAAGCAGGTATGCGCTTTTGGTAAATTCTCACTCGGCGCATCGACTGCATGAATCGTGAACAAACGTGGACCCGCTGCTCCCGTCGATCCTGCAAGAAACATCGACGCTTCAGTATCAGAGTATCTAAGTAGAGGGAAGTTTTTACGGAACGCTCGTTGCCAAGCGAAAGAGTCGTCACCTTGTAAAGCTTTGAAACCTTGCAATGGAACTCGGGAACTTCCAGTAACGAACTGTAGTAATCGGGCTCTCATCTCCTCGCCATAAGACTCGACTATCTGCCAAAACCATTTCACTACCGGCGTATCAGGCGTACAGTGCTTCAATCGCGTGTGCATCTTCCAGTCGTTGATATCGATGGTTCCTAAACCTCCGATCACCAATTCTAATTCCCTTTCGTCGAACGGTCTTAACAACTGGGGTGGAATCAATTCGTGAAACCCTTTTTGCAACGCGAGAAACTGCTGTTCGATTCCCCGCATGAAGCGATAGTTGACGTACAAACGGACGTACTCCTTCTTGTTTTCCTCGGTCACAGGAATGTCTTTGCCACCCGGTTTCAATTCGTGATTCTTCAACACTCCGAAACTACTGTGCTCCACCGAAAACGTGGCATCCAGTACTCCGTCTATACTGTTCTCCCTGTTCATTGTAAACCGATACTTTTATCAATCTTACGTTCTCCAAACGCGTGGTACGCGCGCGCCCACACGTATTCGTCTACTTACAACATCCACGTGAGACTTCTGTGCAACTCTGGGTCCACGCCTTCTATGTCTGTGAGGGTGATAGCTTTGTTAAGCAACATCTTATAGAACGGAGTCGTGAAACCTCCGTCTATATGATGACCATGAAAAACGGCAATTCCTATTATCCTGCCGGCGAAATGGAAGTACGACAAATGTTCCGGATTTATCCCAGAGTCGGGATTGATTTGAAGCGTATAATTGTCATCCCTTGAATACTGGAAAAGGCCGTATTGCGGATTCAACATTTCATGCGACAACAAGTACAACCATTCTCGAGCTACGCCGCCGTAATCGAGGCCTTCCTCGCCGCGGAACTTCACCATGAGCCTTTTACGCATATCTTTCGGCCGCATTTTCATTATCAATCTGTACGACTCCTGAAATCAATTTCACGCTCGACACATGTTCCGTCTGTCAGACATCGTTGACACTGTCGTGCGAACGCTTACCTCGAATATCTCGTTCCTCGACACCTCGAGCCTGCAGTGCCCGCTCTGAGGCTGCAGAGCGTTCAACTCTGCTCTCAGACACTTCAACTTCGCCACCAAGTCCCGTTTATATTTTGGCAGCAGTTCGTTGTCCATTAATTCCTTTGGTAATTCAGATACGGTTTGAGCATTCTGAATCGTAGTCGTAGTTTCCACTGAAACACGTGCAATGTAATGAATGCGTGAGCAGCAGAACGAAATCGTTATTTTCATAGCTTTCAATTACAGTAACGCGCTTCGACAAATAAAATTCCCCAAAAATGGAATGAACGCATTCTCTGTCGCAGCCGGACCGATTGAGAACAGGAACTAAGTGCATCGAACGTACGTTCGTCGAGAGATAAGATAAAATTGTACAATGCACAAATATGTTTTTGTTTTCCTTCTACACGGCATTAAACCGATTAATTGGTCTAGGATTCGAAAAACGATGGTAATCTCGCGTATCTTTTACTCTCATACAGTTCGCTACGTTCCACACGTTGAACGAGATTCTAGTGAGAAATTGCAAACTTACACGTTGGCGAATTATTATTACTTCCATTCTCTGTCCTTGCCCTCTGTTGAACCACGTTACTCGGCGACGCTGGTACCTCCGCCTCCGCCGGTTCGCTTACCGGCGTGACCGAACTGTTCGTACTAGCCGTGGTCTGGTTGGTTGCACTGTTCTGTCGCCTGCTGTCACAGAAATGGAACGAGCTGATCGGTGTCGACGGTCTCTCGATTAGAATACGGTACGCAAACGATCGTCGACTTACTTCAACAGATTGCTTATGATCTGGCTGGACAGCCTGGGATCGGTGAACTGGGTAGTTCGGTTATTGTGATCAACGAAATAAACGCGACCGCTCTGTGTCTGCCGCATTTCCCAGCCGCTCGGTAGCGGTCCAAGTTCATTCGCCAGTTCGTTCGCCGGTAAATCGCGAGGTATTCTAGGATCATGCCAAGTAGACGAACCGGTTGGTACGTGATAAAAGTACACTTGACCTTGCTGCGTTTTCCTCATTTCTACAAAAACGTTCACACACGATAGAATCTTTACCTCTCTTGGTTCGTACTCATTCAAAATCGATCATCATCTGTTGTTAGTTACCATAGCCTCTCGGTAAATCCGGTGGTTGCGGAGGGTCGTACCTCCTCTCGTTATTGATCATCACGCTGTTCCTGTTTCTATTGCTCCGATTAGGCCTTCGCAGCTGACCGTTGTTCGTCTGGCCGCGATCGGGCCTAGCGTTCCCATTCTGATTCCCGTTCTGTTCGTCGCTCGCGCGCGCCGGTCGCCGCTCCCTCGACGACGCCGGTGTCGCGTTTCGCGAATTCTGCTGGTTTCTGTTTTGCTGCTGGGTCGGCGTGTTCCTCGGTGTGTTCGGAGTAGAACTGTCCCTGCTGGGCGTTCTGCTCGGCGTTCCATCACCGTTCCATTCGGGCGTGCATCTGGTAGGACTCTCCGGTCTCACGTTCGGAGGGCTACCGCTACCGCTGGGAGACGTGGGCTCGGAAGAAGGTAACGGCGGTGGCTCCGGTGTAGTGGGTATAATACCGTTGGTAGGGCTACTGTACAAAATGGAGGAAGAGGACGAGCTTCGATGAAGAGGACGAGCATAATATTCGAACGACGACAAGACTCACCGCGTAGTTGGACGAATCCACTGCGTAGTTCTCGTGTAATGGTTAACGTAATACAGTCGCCCGTTCCGCGCTCTCCTCTCCTCCCATCCGTCCGGCAGGTCGGTCGGACAACTTAAATCTCCGAGAACGTCGACCACTGCGTTGTGCCCGACCGTATTGCTCACGGCACCGTTGTGACCGTCCCGTGATAAAAGAGAAACCACGACTTCTCCTTTGACCACGTCCGTATCGTCCGAGTGTGCCTTGCAAAGATCTAGTCGCTGGTCTGTAAGTTCGTTTCGCGTATGAGTACGAAGAGTTCGGCCTCTTAACTGTTACACTACCACTATGAAAAGTTGCATAGCGTCGTAGCAAAGTAGCAATAATTACAGCCTGTATCCTTGAGTCTCTGAATCGTGTTGGACAATATTCGTACGCATCCCAAAAATCCCCCGCTCTTCTTTTTATGGATCTTCTTATAATTCCAAACCGATATAGTAATGCCATCGTCTTTCCCGATGTACCTGCGCAAGATATTTCGACTTTTTCATAAATACCTATCCTCCGTTGCGATTGAAAAAGCGACTTGAAAATTGACCAATATAATTACAAATCGTAGTGTTGATTCCACATAGGATCCAACGTTGCCTTGCACGTGTGCGTGCTGTGACACTGGCCCGAACCATCCACGGTTATCTTAGCGAAAGGATCCGGTAGGCCTGAAACGAAACCCTTTGCTTGAAACACATCGGTCGTCACCTCTTTGCTTCGTGATCGACGCGTAGAGATACTCACGAAACAGATCTTTCCTGGCAAGGTTACGGGCACACAAAACTGTAAAATGTATACGATGCATGAGCCTTTGTTGGATCGACATACAGCAAAATGGGATCGACTCGAGAGCGAGTTCTCCCGTAAATAGATTTGCCGAAGGATTTACGAGTATGTTATACGCGGAACTGGGACTTATCGACGACGACGACTCTAACGTTCGATCGTCTGAACAAGTAGCAGAATTTTAATCATTCGTTCAATGGACATAACGAGCGTGCAACGATACTGAACGTCTGACGTTTGTCAATCAGGCCTGCTCGTAGCGGATCAGCTCGGAGCTCGGCGACGTTCCTCGTTGAATCGATCGACGAGGACGGACTCGCGATACAAAAGTTGGCCCGCGACGCGTCGAGCCCTTCGGTAAATGTCGGGTGAACCGATGCGGGCGTGACAAGTTCACCGAAATTAACATCGTTCGATCTGTACGTATGCCGTGCCACGGTATTACAGTCTCCCGGACTGCTCACGGTGGGGTCTTGACCTCCGATAGGGAGTTGCCATAACCAAAGGACGAAAACCCTAGTCGAACCTTTTTACGTATTTTTCTTGTCGCGTTCCACCGATCGGACGGTGGACCCGATATCCCGGTCGAAGGGCCGGAGGCTCGTCGAAGGAAGACCACCATAAGGATCACGACAGAGCCATATTAACGGACACACGATCAACGAAGACACGGAAAGGATCACAACGCGTGTTGGCCATCGGCCGACTTTCACGCTCCTCTCTCGTCGGGCATAGTTGCAATTTCGTAATGAACTCACTCGTCAAACGAATCTTCATGGCCCCGTTCCTCCTGCTACCGCCCGGATTCGACATTTTCCACGCACATTTAACGCTTCCTACCGTACATCGGCACTCTAATTAGTAAATAAAACTGCTGCTGCTCGGAGCGGCGGTGCAGTCCGCACACACGCAACCGTGCACGATCGACCATTGCAGCTGATCGACCCCTACCGACACCGACATCGACTGTGTGAAACAATCGATTTCCAACTCGCTCGTGCTGCATATCTCGAAATTAACGTGCGAGTTCTCAAATTACGAAATTTCAATTTAAGCTAAGAAAGGCTCGATCGTTCTTACCACGGTTCTTACAATCGGACCGCCTGGCTCTGTAGATACGATCGATCTATGTCGATCTAATAAAACTAGATCTCTCCGATCTGAAAATGGCTCGACGACGACGTCACGAACAGGAAGAGACGATAGACGAATGGAACGATCGCATTTATTGAAGGTGCACAGTTTTTTTGGTTTCGTTACAAACTTATAAATCAACGAATACGTCGATCGCACAGATTAATAGAAAACGTAATGAAACGATCATCTCCGGGCCGATACACATATACACATACATATATTATAGGTATAAAAAATGATAAACGAAAGCTACGTCTATCGCGTCTACTTGTACTTAATTTTCTCGTTTTTCGCTCTCTTCGAACATTCGACGAGGCGATTTTTCTCCGAACAAAGAATTCGATTCACTCACATCTTCGGCAGCGCGTCGTTCAGCAAAAATTTCACCCGTTCACTCCATGCCGCTATCAAGAATGAATGAACAAATTACGTTGGTTTCTTAACGATTACTTATCGAGCTAATTATTCGGTATTTTATTGTCCCCTGTACACGAGTATCGCGTCTATCAGGAACACGATCCCCTCGACGATGCTGATGCATCCCTTGGCAATTCCGGTGTCACGGACGGAGCCACGGTACATGTTCGCGAAATGATCGATGATCAGGCCACCCACGACCACGAACAGAATGAAACCGACCACAGAGAAGAACATGTCCTGCAACGAAACATTTGAACGATTCAACTCTCCTTTCTACGTTTCACATATTTATGTTACGGTACTACAGATATTTATCGATGATCGTTCGCTTACCACTCGTCGATCAAGCGCAGCTCCCAAGAGGATTGCGAATAATAATCCCGCTAGAATAATTAGGTATCCACCGAAGGCACCCATCGTGAGCATCGCAGTGTTCAGACCTCTGTCGCTAGCAGAGTGATAGTGCAGTCCTATGAGGATGCACACTATCACCTGAGACGAACACGAACAAAGTTTTAAAAACGTGCATCGGTCAAAAGTATCATTGTAAGAGTAGAATTCACAAATTCTTATTTATAATCGGACCGTCGAAAATCAGAGTCGGTGTACCACGTTTTACACGTGTACATGGTTCTTCTCTTTCAGAAAGGAGTGACAAGCATACGAAACTGGGTCAACGACTATACGTTGGGAACAACGTTAGGAAGTCGAATCTATTTCGGGAATAGAAATTCCACGGAAGACTGCAATCGCAGAACGATTCCACTGATAGAAAGCACAGCTGGTTTACTGTCATCGTCGCTGTGGCGCGTAATTTCATGCAGCGTTATGAAAGTTATAGCTCGGCTCATCGCGATGCGCGTTGCATCGTCGATCCGCGCCAGTTTTATGTACCAGTCGACTTGGAAAATATTCCTGTACGCTCCTGCTGTCTCGTTCGAGCCAGCGGGTTCTGGTTGAAACGTTTTCAAAAATGTGTACTTGGCGTACACGGGAGAGGAAAATAGAGCGAAATCATTCGTCCAGAAAATGCGTCGTAGGCATTCTGACAGAGCCGACAGCAATCAACTTCCGGCGCGATGTCATATCATAACGAGGAGAGAATCCGAGGAATCGCTTATTATGTCACTCCCCGATCTGGCGGAGGAACGCGCGTACGACGTACTCACTCACTCGTTCGCTCACTCGCTCTATGTATGTACGAGTATGATCTTAGCTGATTCAATGATACATAGCGTGACGACTAACGACGATTTAATGAGAGTCGTTTAATTACCAATTCCACTATTTTGATCACGGTCCCCTTGTTGATAGCCATTCTGATTTATCTGTAATTTAAAAAGAACGATCCTTATTGTCAAACGACACTGATAACGTGTCAGTAAATCACGTTTCTTCACTCCGACAAATGGAACTTCCGCGACACTTAAAACGGTCGAAGCTGCGTTCAAAGCAGGCAGCTATTACGATTCTCCTTTAATCGTGATTTGCGTGCGACCAATCTTTTATACGTACTTACTTCTCCACGAATTCTGCCAACGACGATCTAATAATTGTCAAACGATTAGAATCAATCTCAGGCGAGACAAACAAATGAAATGTAATTTCAACTGGTTTCATACCGTCTTTTTGACTCGAAGCCCGACGCGATTTCATTCATGTTTACACGTACGCTTGTACAAATTTCTGGACTAACGTGATTAAACAAACAATTACTCATAACATTCTGACTCGCGACGTGACTCATTCATGTAAATCGAGAAGCAAATACATATAAAGATACGACGCAATTCAACTTGCGCTTATACAGGGTAGTTTATTATTTGTATGCATGTATATGTACACGTTCGGTAAAAATCTCAAGTACTGCGCTCGGCGTGAAAGAAAAGATAGAAAAGAAAAAAGATTGAAGAAAATTTACAGGTCGCGACCCGTGCCACCTATGAATTCCACGTACTCGTTTCTTATTGAAGGAAACACGTTAAGATAGGATAAATAGATAAGAAATGAAATTGAGATCGATCGAAGATTTGCGAGTCGCGCGCAGCAGTCGATGCCATAAGAATGTATAGGCTATACATATACTTAAACAATGCTGGCATGTTGAATTTGTTATTATACATTCCTATTACTATTAAGCTAAAATTATAGTGATTGCACATTCTTCATAGGTAATAGTATCACCTACAACTTATATTCCAAGTGTTTGTCGAAATTCCGCGAAAAAAAAATTTTCGATTTTTCCGAGATTTTTCCAAGAGGTACCCCTTCAGATTTCGCGAAATTTTCGTTTTTTGCCAATAACTCCTAAACCGTTAGTTCTACGGGAAAATTGTATACGACCCTTCTTGTAGAGGACGACGAGATCTACAATTTCCATGTAAAATTTTTTCGCTAGCGTTAATAGTTTACGAGTTATTTGCAAAAAACTGTTTTTTCGTTTTTCGTTAACAACTCGTAAACTATTAATGCTAGCGACAAACTTTTATACGGAAATTGTAGATCTCGTCGTCCTCTACAAGAAAGGTCCTATGCAATTTTCTCGTATCTCCAAGAGTTTAGGAGTTATCGAGGAAAAACGAAATTTTTTTCCAAAAGTTCGCCGTTTCGACGCTCGGATGGTCGGATTTTGTCGACATCAATAAAATGCCAAATAATCATACTTAACTCATTAAATATCGAAATTAGAAGAAAAGTGCACTATTTTTAATGATAGGAAATGCGTTTTTCTAAGGAATATAAACTTTTGGTATTGGCTATATAGCCAATACATCCATAAAGAAAGTCACGCTTTCACCATGCCCCTAATAACCTTGACACGATTCCTCACGTTATCTCTCGTCGATCGAACTAATTACCGTTGATTTTACTATTCATTCGTTGTTCCATAACATTTTTAACGTTAATCGACTGCTGTTCCTATCGCTTTCTCAGCTGCTATTTGTAGCACGCGTTTACGAATGGAATTTTATCGAAACGACGAGCAACATCTTATTTACAGGTTTTCCGATACAATTAACTACAATTTGAACGTGTGCAAATACATGCAAATCGGCTCGAGGAACGTAGCGCATGCCCTTTTGCATCATGCATCGTCGTTTTGTTCATTCTTGTCACGTTCAAACACCCGTAACGGTCATCTTTCGGCTCCTAGTCATAAACGAATATCGTTTCTCAACGTCTCCGTAGACGTTTAAAAAGAAAATAAATTCAATATCGTTTGTTTGTATCGCCTGTCCGATAAAATCTAATCGAGAAACACTCGGATTTCTCATTCCGGTGATACAGTCAAAAACGAATCGTTTGTACTTCCAATCCGTTCAAAGTATCGTAGAAAACGAAGCTCGGCCCATTTCTTTTATTTTACAGTGCTCGTAAACAGATGACTTACAGTTCAGACTCGTTCGAGCAATCCAAAGTAGTGGACCAGAGGAGAGAGTTTAACCGGCACTGGACGACGTGACACTGACAGTGAGCCGTGAAGGAGTGACTGACGCTCGGCCGGCTCGGCTCGGCTATAATTTTTGCCAGCCGCAGCCCGAAACTTTCTGTCCTGCCTTCTGCCCTGTGCGTGGGGTACGTGGCGTATAAGCGCGCTCATGTCATTTTCCCAGCGATACACGTACGATTCCTGTTTCATAAAATATAATCACCACGGCCTGCGAATACAGCGATTCGCAAAGCAAGTGTAAAACACGGAATTCGATACAAATCGTAACACACCTCTGGAAATTAATCAGATTTTTCATTTTGAATAATAAACGGATTTCATTGCCGCACGATTCATGTATGAACGATCTGTACCTGTGTATCGTCGATCGTAGTCTTACTACCAAGACGACATGCAATTCTCTACGTAAATCGTCCAAGTAATGAAAATGATGTATCATTCAAAATGTGTACGTACCTACGTCGTAAAAAATTTGATATCTTAAAATAGATACTACATATTTACGACTGATCCCAAAATCGCTTTATTACACCCTGTGTACTAAGCGTACGTGTGTGTGTGTGTGTACGTGTGCTTTAAATGACATCACGCCGCTGATAGTATTCCGCCGATTATATTCGCTCGAATACAAAGTGCTCGGAGACTCGCACATTTAGAATAATCATCACGTCATTTTCTACAATAGCAATACGTAAGAACGAAAGACATGTCGCGATCATATAGGAATGAGTAACGTCATAATGATGACACACGATCGTTCTCGTGTCTTATAGTTTTTACTATCAAATTATATTTATCGACTGCTCAACAACATTACATTTACTGATTCCTCAACGACTCGAAGAGTTCGCCTAATAGAGAGAGAAGGCAAACATCGGTCTTCTTTCGAGTCCGTACGATCTCCTTCGACCTCGGATCGTTTAGGAGTGATTGAGCGAACACGAAAACCTGCGTGCAAATGAAGTTTTGTCGAGACGATCGTAATAGGTGATCATTAGACCGCAAACGTAGTTCTCCGCCTGATACCATTTCCAAAGAGCGGCCATCGAGAACCGAATCGGGATATCGTTGCTCCGATCCAAACCGTGATCGCAGCTTGCAATTCTGACCGGAATATAAATGAAACCGGTGACAATGTAGTGAGCGAATGATCACTTCATTCGGGAAATCGTATAAACATAATTTCTGAACGGACGATCATCGGCCTTTTGAAGCCATATACAGAATCGGTCCTCTTCGGCACGTAGCCTCGTCTCCTCTGTCTTTGCCATTACCATTTCGTTCCAACTGAAAATTATTACATCTATACTTAAGCTCGAGATCCCTGATATGAAAATCATGAGTAATTTATAAGGGTAACATAAAAATTAAATCGCCGAAGACTGGCCGGATCCGAAGATGATAGGTCTGTTGAAGCGTGCTGATTTCGAGAGGAAGGCATATGTATGCGTATACATTTTATTTCGCGGCGCCACGACGCCGACGTTAGCCGACGCCCGCCAACCGACGCTGCTCCCACACCCACTTATGCCCTATGCCCCTTATGCCCACTTACTGGCCGCCAGGGCGGAAACGTGATCGAAACTGGAGCTTCACTGTTCCTCAACGCACGGCGCTATGATCGAAATTGTGGCAGTTCCAAAACATCCTTGTCTATGATCAACAATGATTAACGAAGAATTTCGTAAATCGAAAATCGCATGACACTGAATAATGTATCCTAATTTCCGAATGAAAGTCATAAACGATCCCTTCGTCGTTTGCTGAAAAATGTAGGGACGCGATCGTTTCACGAGGGGAATCGCTCGTAGTCTTGCAATGTGGAAAACGTAAGCTAAACCAATGAAAACAATTATTACAGTATACAGCGATGTATTATTAGTTATAAAAATAAACTAGAACCTGCGAAGCTGGTTTGAAAAGTAAAACGAGGCATTAACTTTCTCTTTAATGTACTGCAAACGTTTAACCGCGGCAAAGTGTTCGCTGCACTTTCACTGACACCGGTTACGTTGCACAGCGTTATTTTACAACATTGTTCACGACAAACGCAGGATCAGGATTTCAAGTTACGGTGCGGAGACAGAGAGAAAGACTGCGAACGATCACGTATTTGACAGTAGTAAATTGTATCTGTTTGTCGATTGTTAATCTCATACGTCGCATCATGTTTTTTTGGAAATCTATAAATTTGCATGGATCTCTGAGACAATTGCATACTTCAAAAGTTTTGTAAGTAATTCGTATTTAATTTGGAATGATGTACCGTCCTGTAAAAACGTAAGAAATGATACAGCGAACATTTAAAATGTACATTTACTTAGACATAAGGCTGTCATATTAAATGGCAAGAAGATAGCTAATGAGATTCAAACTGAACTGAAAAGAACTGTTGACGATTGGATAAACGAGTGTAAGAAGAGACCTAAATTGGTAGCTATAATTGTTGGTAACGATCCAGCTAGCAAAGTATATATACAAAGAAAAATGAAAGCTGCAAGTTTCATTGGTAAGATTCTAATAAAGATCGTCAACTTATTGATCAACATTTTAGAAACGAGTCGTGCAATGTGACAGCTATTAATGTGATTCAGGAATTGAAAGTTATACCGTTCACTTGGAAGAAAGTAAAACGCAACAAGATCTCATTAAAGAGATTAATGTACTGAACAACGATGATACCGTGGATGGAATTCTCGTTCAATTACCATTGACGAAACATATGAACGAACAAGAAGTATGCCAGGCAATAGTGCCAAGCAAAGATGTCGATGGCTTTCATCTAGAAAATTTAGGTAGTTTAGCACTGAGTAGGAGCGGAATCGTCCCTGCAACGGCTTTAGCTGTAAAAGAATTAATAATTAGGAGTAACGTTGAAACGTTTGGGAAGAACGCAGTCGTAGTGGGAAGATCTAAACACGTCGGTTTACCTGTCGCATTGCTCTTACACGCTGATAGCAAAGGTATAGAATTCAATAAACGTTATATTCTTATCGGCACGGTCTTAACGGCGAGCTGATTTACAGATAGAAAAGATGCATTAGACATGACTACGGTCATCTGCCATCGCCATACTCCCCATACCGAGTTAGAGAGATTTACAAAATTGGCTGATATCGTAGTCGCCGCGGCAGGCATTCCTGGTTTAATCACCAAAGAGATGATAAAACCTGGGGCATGTGTAATCGACGTAGGAATTACGAGAGTAAAAGTGGGTGACAAGTATAAATTAATGGGCGACGTCGATTTTGAAAATGTTCAAGAAATCGCTGGGCATATAACCCCGGTACCAGGTGGCGTGGGTCCTATGACTGTAGCGATGCTAATGAGAAACACAGTATCAGCAGCGAAGACGAACTTTGAAAACTTGAAACGCTTCAATATCTGCAAGCGTGAGACTTCGTTTCACTACTAGGATAATCGATCGAACAGTACGAACGATACTGTTTACAGGAAAACATATGTGACGTCTAATCAGTCAGAGCATTTCTTGCATCGCATACGTACAGTATTGCACAGTATCACACATTTTTTAGACGATGCTGTTTCAATGTGACACTTTTAGCAAGTGTAGTACATATACATCACTACTACTCATTTACTCGGCTCACCGCTTCACGTACATACCAGCAAATTTTTTACTCAGAAGTTCGATTAATAAAAAAAATGTTGAAACTTAATCAATCGTACGCTTATCTATTTGAACCTTAATGCTCTAAATAATAAATCACTGGAAAATGTGTACGTATTCGATTAACGAGAATATAACTAAAGGTTATAAGTTCGTCCCAGCGTATTGCAAAAACTTGCACAGAATCTGACAGAAAGTAAGAATTAAAGACATTCATGTCGTCACAGTAAAAAGAGAATGTTGTTATCCAATTTTATTCCCTATACAAAACTGAGTCAAAGGTCACTGCTCGCAATCGCTCTTAAACGTTCGAGACACGTTCGAGATCCAAAGAATTTCGCGTCCAGTTCATCGACAAAAATGAGTCGACCGAGAGTTTTAATCACTCGGCCAGACATTCCACCAGCTGGATTGAATTTATTGAAAGAACAGTGAGTATCTCTTATAAATTCAAGCATGCTCTTCCAAATAAGAATACACGTGCGTACGTGCACTTTCGTCCGCTCACGTTTAAGAGCTTACTCTTGAAAATTCTTTACTCTCTTCTTACTCTCACAATTAGATGCGATATCATTCTATGGGAGAAGCCTGAACCGATTCCCAGATCTGCATTGCTGTCAAAAATAAAGGACGTAGATGCAGTCTACTGTTTATTAACGGATAAAATAGACGAGGAAGTATTGGATTCTGCGGGACCACGATTGAAAGTCGTGGCCTCCATGTCAGTCGGCGTCGACCACTTGAATTTGCCAGCTCTGAAGGCCAGAAACATCAAAGTTGGTTACACGCCTGGCATTCTAACGGATGCAACAGCCGAATTGACCGTAGCATTGTTGTTAGCTACGTCCAGGAGATTGATAGAAGCGAACAGAGCTATTTACAAGTAAGAAAGTAAACGTACGTTTACGACTATTACGAGAGATCGGTGATACTGAAAATGTAATTTGTACAGGGGCGAATGGAAGGCCTGGTCACCTACTTGGATGTGCGGTCCCGGTTTGTCTGGGTCAACGGTGGGAATAGTAGGATTAGGACGAATCGGTACGCAAGTAGGAAAGTGCCTCAAAAGCTTCAACGCTGCGAAAATATTATACACAAGTAGGAGCGTTAAGCAAGAGGCAGCCACGTTCGGAGGAGAGAAAGTAGAGTTCGATGCGCTGCTGCGACAAAGCGACTTCGTGGTCGTTACTACGGCTTTGACCGCGGACACCAGACAAATGTTCAATGAGAACGCATTCAAAAAGATGAAAAACACTGCTGTCTTTATAAACGTCAGTAGAGGAGAAGTCGTCGATCAGAAGGCTTTAATAGACGCTTTGAAAAATGGAACGATTCGAGCTGCTGGTTTAGACGTCATGACTCCTGAGCCTATTCCACTAGACAGCGAGCTACTGCGATTAGATAATTGCGGTGAGTACGACTGACGAATAAATGACGATGATAATAGTCACGATAATAATGACGCAACGAATCGATAGTAATGTTAATAAATTACTCATGTTTTATTGTTAGTTATACTGCCTCATATTGGTAGTGCTGCTATAGAAACGCGAGAGCGTATGTCGATGATTACCGCTGAAAATATTCTGGCAGTCTTGAAGGGAACACCAGCAGAGATGCCCACTCCGCTTCAGTTCTAGTTCAGTCAGAACATCGATCAAAGGGCTACAAACGAATTATTGAAAATGGGACGAATAAGTATGTGAACAGAGTTTCACATGTTTCTTTCAAACGGATTTAGTTTTGTAAACAAATTCTTTGTATAAACGTGATACAACAACTAATGACTGCGTACCAGCCTTCCAGTATTCCATACGTTCGCATATATACGGTATAAAGTTACGTGGATACAGTGATGGTGGTGGTGGTAGTAGTAGTAGTAGGACTAATAGTTAAAAAATAGCTATGATTGCTGTTCGACGATCGACCAGCAATTATTGTTGACGTGATCTCAACGCTTTCAATGCTATCAAGCTTTGCTCGTATACAGTAAAATGTAACGCGCTTGTTGCAGTAGCCTTCAATTGGCTCGGCAGCAAACCTTTAAATAATCCTCTCACTCCTTCCACCTTGACAGTTACTCTTAAACAATCTACGAGCCCAGTGCATTCGAAAAAAGTGCCGAAACCTCTTCTAGCATCTCTGAATCCTTGTATTTGTAATCTTTTTCTACTGAGATCAAAAGGATATATCGCGGTCTTAGCCAGCAAACCGGCTACGCTGCCCGACACCATAGAATTGTAAAAACTGACGTCAGTTTCGTTGCGATATTTTTTGTACGCATCACTGAAAAAGCCGTAAAATGCAAATTGTAAACCGGAATGTGGGATAATTTGCAACAGCGTTGGTAGTAATCCGTTAAAAAACACCTTTGGAGATTCATGTTTCACAATACAACTGGAAAAATAGTTTGTTTTGAGATGACGCGATATTTGAATTGGGCATCCGTCTTCTATCATTTTTCCACTTGCCTGCAGCAATGAGTGATTCCTTTGTACGCTGGGCGAATGGTCGACTGTGCCACTAATCTCGTTCGTATGGTGTCAAAAGGAAACGACACGACTGTACCTACAAACCCGGCACCTGCACCAGCTACAAATTTTGTCGGATACGGCCATTCGTTCGAGAATGCAAAGCGATTAGACGCCTTCATAAATATATTATATGAATAGAACTACAACATTTTAATACAATTTCAGCCGCTGTTAAAATTAATATTATTAGATAATATTTGTTTGAAGACTTTTATGACAAAATGCTACAAGCGAAAAAAGTTTCGTAGCACGCGTGTTCACCTGGCCCATTCCGTATACCACTGACAGTACTTGTGCAGGAATGTGTCCCTTCCACAGAGCAGAAACACCTTCTTCTTTGACTATCGTGTAAAATGCTTGGACCAAAGAACGATATTTACTGACATGATGATCGGCGATCGGTTCAACCTGTAGCTGTAATTATAAAACGTTCTACTCAGCATACAGAATTCATCTAACGATAGACACATCGTTGATAACGGTTCGTTCACCTGAAATCTAATTTTCACAACGTCCAAGGGTTGACAAATACATCTCGTCACAAAACCGCTGATAGCACCTGCCACGGCATGTTCTAAACCGTGACTGCTGCTTTTTGACGAAGAGCTCGTCATCATCTTTTGCGTTTTACATATTAATATTCATTCAAGCCACTTTGATACATGTATAAAAATATGCTGTCGATATCAAAATTGATCAAATGCGATACAATAGTTTATCATGTATAACCTAAATTACTTTCGCTGCTTCCAATACCTGTTCTTCCTACCCAGCCAATCCGTATACCGAAGTCAAAGATACTCAAAGGGCGAACGCACATCATGTTTGCATCATTAGACATTAGACTTGCAACAGTTCGTACGCATATTAATTTCAAACGAGGTTAACTAGACAGAATTTTCCCAAGTCCCGATAGACGGCACTATCGTTGCCGTTGCCTCTCTAAGCTATACTAACGTCACGTGATGTTGAGAAGCGCGTGGCGCCATCTAGCGTAAATGGCTGCAAATACAAACTTTACATTAGGAGAATATAAGTTGTAAGAGGTAGCACTATCTCCGGGTAGTGACGCCATTGGTAGGAGTTTATTGGTAGAAAGTCGCGCATGCGTGAGAAAACCCGGTCCGTATCTCATCACTGGTAAGAGGTAGCACCAACTCCTACCAATGGCGTCACCACCCGGAGATAGTGCTACCTCTTACAACTTATATTCTCCTAATACAAAGTATATATTTCCAGCCATTTGCGCTAGATGGCGCCACGAGCGCCAAGCAATATCACGTGACGTTAGTATAACTTAGAGAGGGACTTGGATATGTGGATACTACAGTGTACTTTATTGTTCAACAAGCACATTTTGCGCTTAATAACGATCATTTTGGAATGTTACTCGCGATGTAATTTTACGATGAATATCTTGCAGAACTTCAGATGCCAGCGAGTAATCATCAAAATTGGAGGCACAGTTTAAATTGTGATAATGATTTACTAACGTTACCAAATCGTAGCCCCAACGACTTTCAAGTACAAATTCCACGTCTCTTTTCGATGGAACATTCGGATTTCCTTTAACGATTACAAGATCCAAGTGTTCAGTAAAATTATCCTGTAACGTATGCATCTTTGGTTACACGTTCATGTACGATTATGTCGTTGTGATTTGATACGCTGTAAATTATCATGTATACAATTAAAGTACTGTATATATAGTGAAAGTTCTCACATGATTCATCGATCGCTGTATAGTGGACAGTTCCGCGTACAATTTACATAAATTCAAAATCATCGTTTTAAACGCGACGGTAGCGTTTTCGAAATTGTCCTCAAGTTTCGTTGACGCGTCATCGTTTAAAACATCATCGTTCATTCTTTTCCAACACCATTTTTCAAAGAATCTTTTCTTCGCGTCACTCTGAAGGTATAAACATTTAACGTTTGTCATTGCCGTTGAATCGATAGCGAACGCATCGTGACACAGTCGAAGTACGTCATCCTCTGTACCCTCGATTAAATGAATTATGAAATCAGTATAAATGAGAAGTAATCCACTGATCGACCGCTTGCCATTATTTTTATCTATCGCGTTATTAAATAATCGTGCAACTTCCATGGTATTCGTTGTTCTTGCAGAAAATATTAGTCTGCACGTGGACGTGCTCATGGCTAAACGTGACAAGATCCTCGTACGTTTGATCGATAATAATTAGCGATACAGTGAGGTCAGCGAGTGTGAATTTGAAAAAGAAAAAAGAAAACAGTAGTGAGTAGTGGCGGAGATTCTTTATTTTAAATTTTGTAACACACTCGGAGTATCGATGCATAAAACATTGTATCTAAACTACAGAAGTAGCGGTACAACACTTTTTTCGATTCCTGATTTACACCGAACTTTTATTCTGCAAATGTGATACATTGATGTGCGACATATTTCTTTTCATCTGTCTTGAACGGCACGAGAGTACATAGAATTCAAAGGACAAGTTACATGCAATCAAACCTACGAGCGAATGCAAAATGTTGAATCCTACTTGTGCGTAAGATCGCACAACTTTATAACGTGTCACTAGACAGAGTTCGTTTTATATTTTTTTATTCGGGTGAATCGAGATACTTATATTTAGTCATGGACATGGAATACGATATTCAAGCAGTCTCTGTGTGTGTGTGTGTGTACTTGTTGGTGGGCGTGTGTGAGTGTTTATGACTTTACAATGTTCAGTATGTTCGACCATTCAATTTTACAGACACGGACAAACAAAAAGTAACTTCGCTGCGCAACCAAGTATATAAAATTGGTCACGGTAGAAAGAAGTGGAATGAATACTGATTTTATTATGTATATAGGTACTTATATCTAACTCCCAACTTCTGAGACGGCCACAGAATTGTCAATTCCAAGGGACTAATTTTGCTACTAAAATTTCCGTTTGACCAAACGAGAAGAATCGTTCGAATCGAAGTTAAACTTAACGGGATTGTCAATTGTCTCCTCATCGAGTATCGTTCATCGATTCTTGCACGACGATTCTTACACATCCCACGAAATAATTTTTACGTTTTATCGTTTATGCCCCGACGAATGAAAAAATTAAAATTTGCCTCGGAATATGTTTAGCTGAAACGGAAATTTACCAAAGATACGCTTCTCGCACGTGGTTTGCTGGATTCTATACTATCGCTAACTAGAACAATAATATCATAAATAAAGATAAAAAAATAACCGAGCACGAGAACCAACGGAAACCGGCACGACAGCCTCGATGGAGATGTTTTCTCCCTGATCGTAGACGAAAAACGTTCGTCTCAAGACAATTTCGGATCTCCACCCAGTTAGTCGTTCAGAAAGTTTGTGATCGGAAGTCGGAGATGATTTAACTACGCGTCGAAGTAATTCGCATTGTCGAATCGTTTATGCTGCGACTTGGGGAAAACATTATCTCGTCTGCGGTAATTTCCTCCTCCGTATCCCCAGCGATCTACAAATTCAGAGAAATAAAGTTCGACAAGGTCGAAAACAAATGATTCTTGTGGGACACACAGACGGTGGTATCGTACTTACTTCTTGACATGTCGTTTCCAGTCTTGTCCGCGAGTTCCATTAACTTTGGATTAATAACTTGTTTGGCTTCCTTAAGTACATTAACCAATCCTTTGGCTTGACGTCCGTTTTGGGGCGTAAAGAACGCATAGCTCGTCCCGGAATTATTTGAACGACCGGTTCTACCGATTCTGTGAATGTAGTCTTCGGACGAAGTCGGGTAATCGAAGTTGATCACGTATTTTACATCGTCGACATCTAAAGAAATACGTCCATTAAAATATGTATGACAGTTTGAAAAAGGATTGAGCACATTTGTCCTCTTAAGCATGGTATGTATGTTTCAACCGATAGAGATATTGATCTCTTGGCAGTATCCATTTAATACCCCAAGGAAACAACAGTTCTAATTGTGTTCGAATTATTTATCACGTTCGTTCGTCCGTTTGTTCTCGTTCGTTCGTTCGTCCGTTCGTCCGTTCGTCCGTTCGTCCGTTCGTCCGTTCGTCCGTTCGTCCGTTCGTCCGTTCGTCCGTTCGTCCGTTCGTCCGTTCGTCCGTTCGTCCGTTCGTCCGTTCGTCCGTTCGTCCGTTCGTCCGTTCGTCCGTTCGTCCGTTCGTCCGTTCGTCCGTTCGTCCGTTCGTCCGTACGTCTCGATTTAATGTCTGCGTTTGCCCGTTAAAGTACAAGTCGAATGCTATTGCAATGTAAAACAAAGTAATACGAAAACTAATTTCTTATCTCCGTATTTTATCTACCGAAATATGCAGCTAACTCTGTGAACATACGCTGCCGTACGATTAGTAAAATGAGCATCGTAAGGTTTCATACCGTTCAACGGTTCGAACCGATGTTCTCGCGTCCAATTATAAGATAGATTAGAAAGTGGAAGAAGATTTTCGGTCGAGCACGTTTGAAACAATGCGTATGAACGTAAGTTAGCTGCATAGCAATTAAATACAAACCCAGTTATCGTTGAATATCACGTTCAGTATGACCGCGTACAACGGAGCAGCCAAGATGTGTGTGCTATTCTTAAACGGACCTTCAACCATTGCGTCCTAAGCATCACCATCGAGTAGCGATAGTAGCAAAATCAATAGATTGTTGTCTCTGATACGGGCTGATCGTTGGCTATGAAGCGTGATGGTTGTACCAAAATGTAAACCATGGTCTTTTATTGTCACGCAGCCAACCAGCGCGCGATAACGGCACCACCCGCGCACCACAATACTACTTGCGTGGTACACAGGCTGAACACAGAGGCACATTAAGTACAAAACATTATGTGCAATACAGAATTGCGCATGTACAATGAGTGAGCCATGTTACTTTTTTTCTTTTTTTTTTCTTAACGATCATCGCACACTCAACACAATTTGTGCACCATGTGCCTCTGAAACAAAGGACAACCAGACTGATTAACATAAATTACAAGATGCCCACACTTATTACTAACGCACTTCCTGTATTCCAATCTTTCTCTCAATTCTTTAACACAAGCACCGAATCTCCTCCCTCCTCGTACACTTCCTCTATCTTCCTTTTCAATGAAATAGATTGCATTAGCCAGATGCTTTCAATTAAATCAACAGAATGATCAACAAAACGGACGATGGCGCGACGTAGCATCCGCCGTAGGAACGTTAGACGCCGAACAGATCTGAACACAATTTCTCGTGAACGGCGAGCAAAAAAAAATGAACAAATAAAGATGTATGATTGAAAAAAGAAGGAAACGTTCTGACCGTCCTCCTGACGTTCTACGCGTACGTATGACTAACGATAAGTGACAAAACCTATCTCGTTCATCGTGTACAGAACCACACTCCGGTGTGCTTGAACAAACGTAAAATGAATGACATGTGTATAACGAGATGTACGTATGAAAACTAATGCCATCTATTAAATATTATCAAGCTCGTGTCAAGTTTGAGACTGTGCACCAACGATATCGTTTAAATCATATTGATCTCAAAGTTGGTTAAAGAATCTTACAGGGTGTGTAAAAGCGTACTTCAAAGTTTTCTTGTTGCGTACGAAAAAGATACTTCTTTAGATCTTACGCTACGGAACGATCAATTATTTGATACTAATGACAATCAAAGAGACAGTGAGGCATCGTCTTCATATAACCAGTCTGTGCTACATCGCCACTTTCCGCGCCCCCTCCCCCCAACGGCCACCGCATTCAAATCGATTTCAGTTGTCCCGAATGATTCTATCCAAAGATCGATCACAATCGTTCGAAATCTACTGTGTGTTTCTCTCGTTTTCTTTTCTTTTTAAAACGAAAAACAATGTACACCGGGCGAACGGTATCGTTACTTACCTAAACCACGTGCAGCAACGTCTGTTGCTACAAGGATCGCGTCTCTGTTCTTCCTAAATTCTGAAAATTCGACAATGACACGTCAGAAACAATGAACGTACAGCATAGAAGACGATCAGTCAAGAGAACGAACCTGCAAGAACATAGTCTCTTTCCAATTGCGACTTGTCGCCGTGTATACATACTGCAGGCCAGCCATAACGACGAATAGTTCGGGTAATACTTTCCACCTTTTTCTTTGTCTCTACAAAAACTATCGTCTTCCCACCCTCTGGATTAATATTACCAATTTCCTGAAGTAGATTTTCCAATCTGAAACGAGTGAACGACGGAATGTTACTTTCGAGCAAACTTGGCCGAAAAAGCTAAACATTGACATATCGCAGCAGTCAGTTCTTCTTAGAGAGCAAAACACAATTATAATCATAGACTATCATGCATCGTTATCATCATAAATATGCATCGCGACAGAATCAAGTTGTTATTCTTATTATGACACGTACTTGGACTGTTTCTCATGTTCCTCGCAAACGTCTACGATCTGCAGAATGTTGTGATTAGCCGACAACGTCAACGACCCAATGTTCAGCTGAGTATAATCCACGAGATATTCTTCCGCGAGGTTTCGAACCTCCTTCGGCCACGTCGCAGACCACATCAGCACTTGTCTGTCGGGTCTGATCTGTTCGATGATCTTTCTGATCTGAGGTTCGAAGCCCATGTCGAGCATCCTGTCCGCTTCGTCCAGCACCAGATACGTGCATCTACGTAAATTGGTCGTACCGCGTTCCAAAAAGTCGATCAGCCGTCCAGGCGTAGCGATACAGATCTCGACTCCTTGTTCCAAATCGCGAGCCTGGCTTCCTTTCGGTGCGCCACCGAAGATACAGGTACTCCTCACATAGCCGAAGTTGTATGTAACTTTTTGGATCTGTTGCGCCAATTCTCTGGTCGGGGCCAGAATCAAAGCGATCGGTCCGTCTCCACGATTCAACGGCTGCTGACTGCTGATGTGGACTATCGCGGGTAAAATGTATCCCAAAGTTTTTCCAGATCCGGTCTGCGCTATCCCCACCATGTTCTGCCCGGACATAGCGATCGGCCATCCTTGAGCTTGAATAGCGGTCGGTTCGCTGAACCCTTGCTTCCGTATGCATTGCATCACGTGATCAGGGAAGTTGCCTTCCTCGAAGTGTTGAATGGGATTAGGAATTTTCTCGCCCTTCAGAGTGATCTGATTTTCTTGCCTAAACACGTCTATCTCTTGCGGGTGACGCGACTGAACGTTCGGGTGCGGTATATAAAAATCTTTCTTGAAGGGTTTCAAATTCTCGAAGCTCCAATTCGGTTTCTTCAAGTTACCGGCAGTACCGTTGATGTTACTCTTGCTATGATTTTGAAACGGTCTACCGGTTCTGTTGGCGTTAGGGTTTCCATATTGAGACGATGGCCTCGGCTTGACACTCCTATAATTTCCACTGCTGTGGTAACTTGCTCCGTACGTCCTGCAAACAGAAAGAAGAGAAACGTACGGGTCAGAAGCGTTGCCTTCGAGCTTTCATCTCGCATGAATGTAGTGAACACCGAGAATCGGCTCCAGACAAAAAGCGTGTGGATTCCGAAGGCATGTTCTCACGTTACTATTCCTCCCACAAGCATTCATGCTCCATCGATATAGAAAATGGAGGCATGCCAAAATGGGAGGCACGACAGAGCGTGAGTTAATCTTTCGTTTCTGTTCTATAATACGTTGTTAAAATGGAACACACAGATACAAACCTAATTTCGAGGGATCCAATAGCTCTCATTACATGGTGCAACCTTTAATAAATCATAACTGCTTTTATAAATGTAGTTATGATCGGATCGAATTCGCGAAACGATGCTCGACGAACGAACAGCAACGCTAAGTGAACGAAATATCGTTACGTAAAACTAAAGTAAAATGCTATGCCGATAAACTTTCGCGAACACGCGACGGTAGAGGGGTGCCGATGACGCACTGCGGACACTGCGGATTTTTGCATGTAATGGCGGATCTTGAAACATCTCGAAGGGAAGTATCGTTCCAACGTATTACGGTAGATCGTACAAAGTAATACTGATTAGAGAGAGAAATAGTAATCGAAAATAAAAATGTTACTCACATATTTGATGTCGGAAAGGGCTTTCGATTCCCAATTAAACTGCCGTTCAAGACGAATAGTCGATACTCGAGTATTAACTGCGTGAGCGGCAGCAACGATTTCTAAAATATTCACCAATATTTACTGAATTTTCTCTACTTACAGTAGTTCGAAGAGAAAGTAGAATGATTTCGAACAAGAATCAGTAATCGATTACGATGGGTAGCATAAAAATGAAAAGAAATCAAGCTACTGCCAACGGACAGGCATCCTACTTACGCTGCCTCCAGGAACGGAAAGAACGATCAAGAACGTTCCTCCACGAACTCGAACATGGCCTCACGTTCTCGGAGGGTGGGGGGTGCGCAGAAACTCCGAAAATAACGTTTCTTACGTTCTGCGCATGTAAAATGTAATTGACCGGGGCAACGTTAGTCAAATAAATGACTCTGTCAAACGATTTTCTCTCTGGTTCTATTTTAACGGTGTAAGGTGTACTACGGTAATTAAAGAGTATTAAATACGACGAGCGTGCGGTGCGAAATGTAAAACGATACGCGAAATAACGACGACGCGTAAATCAGCAATAGTAAGATCCTCGATATGTGTGTATGCATGTGTGTTTGGCGTGTTGTGGTAGTGGTAATAACGGTGACGGTGTCGGCGTCGCCGTCGGATGTAAGAGTTAGACACGCATTTTATGGTGGCACTACTGGCTGGGTCAAATTATTGGCGCGGTTCTTCTCCGATGCTGGAATAAAAGTAGGACGGATAAGATTCTCATGGATCTCGTCATCATCGGCTATTACCACCAGCAAGGACAAGACGAACGAATAAGGAAACGCGATATCTCTACGCATATGTAAATCATACACAGGAAATCAGATACAGTATAGTTCCTCATTACCATTTCTACGTCATTCTAATTATTTTGAAAACGATGGAAATAGATGAAGATCCAACCAGCCGAACCAGTTATAAAAGGAGGAAAAAGTACAGTTGCTCGGCAACACGATCAGTCGCGTACAGGAAAACCATCCGATTCGTCCTCTCTCCTGGTTAGACCCTGGCTGCTGCTGCTATCGAAGATAGAACGGACGGATCGAGGAAGAAACAAGGCTCTGCGGTCGAACATAGAAAAGAGGAATGATGTTGCTGTCGGCATCGATTTTGTCATGGATAACGTTTTTCCTTCTCGTTAAACATCGCACATTCTGCACTGCACAGTACGAGGGTGAGAATCAGAAGCTGTTTGGTACGAGCATTAAATGAATAGACTCGAGAAGTCGGTTGTAAACTGTAAGCTATCACGATGATTTACGTTCTTTTCTTATTTTGATTTTTAGGAGACCGATGCACCGTAGACGGTTCATCTGGTGTCTGTACGCGTTTGGAGAACTGTGATTCGGTTCGGAATGAATTAATGCGGGGAATTATCCCGCGCGAAACGTGTGGATACGATAAATTTCATCCGATTATATGCTGCCCGAACAGTTCAGGAGTCGTGACGGCGAACCTCACGGTCGCGTCTATGGCGAAACCGAGCTTAACGTCTGATCTAACGAGACGACCTGTCGGGGCCAAGGCGAAGGCAAGTACGTATTCCCTTGCGACAGTCACAGATTTCCGTTTGTTATTCGTTATTAATCATCATTGTCGTAGAATGCGAGGAGTATTCGAAATATGTGCCATACGTGACGCATTTTTATGCGTCTCTCAATATAACGGATACCACGGCTCTTTGCAAGGACACGTTTCAGGCGGTGGTCATCGGTGGTTCGCCGGCGAGACAAAAGGAATTCCCGTACATGGCTGCGATCGGGTACGGTAATCTCGAGAACGGAACTATTCACTGGGAATGCGGTGGCACCTTGATCTCAGAAAGATTCGTCGTTACCGCCGCTCATTGTCTTTTCAACTTAAACTGGTGAGCTCGTAACTTGAACTTGTTTCGTATTTTTTATCGATTTTATTGCACGAGCGATAACATTTAACGTTGCCAGGGGCGAAGCGACGTGGATCCGACTGGGTGTCTTAGACCTCGAGAAGACGAACAAGACCGAGACGTACGAACCGCAAGATATTCGTATCATGGAATTGATAAAACATCCCGAGTACAAACGGCCCTCCGAGTATCACGACATCGCGATCCTGAGGTTGGAGAGATCCGCGACGTTCAACGATTGGGTCAGACCCACTTGTCTGCCGTATTCTTTGCCACCGACCGGGAAAGCGGCGCCTACGCCTACCGCGATGGGATGGGGCCAGGTCGAGTGGGGTAAGTTCGGCGATCGACACTGGACGATATTTTTTATCATCATCATCATCATCATCATCATCATCATCATTTCAATTTGCCTGCTCGTCGTACGCCAGGGGGTGACCGATCGAATTATCTGCTGAAAGTGTCGGTCTCGATCAAAGACCATGACGAGTGTAACGCAACCTTCACCGGCGGCATCACGGATGACAAACTCAGATTCGGAATCGTAGACGATTGGCAGCTTTGCGCGGGTGACTTCGGAAAGGACACGTGCCAGGTGAAACTACTTCCCATTTTAAGATCGATGTATTCGAGACTACGTTTAACGAATTTGTCGCTGGTTCCAGGGAGACAGCGGCGGGCCGTTAATCTTCGAGAACAACGATTACGATTGCATGGATACGTTGATCGGTGTTACGAGCTTGGGAAAGTTTTGCGGCGGCATCAGTCCTGGTGTATACACGCGTATTTATCATTACGTTCCCTGGATAGAAGACATCGTTTGGCCGGATCCCTGATCCAAATGATACATATCAAATTACATTTCTATACCGTACATGTACCTTCCTCTATTTTTTACTACCGTCGTTCCGCTGTTTCGGAACGTCGTATGTAGGTTCAAGTATTATGCGACCTAACGTATAAATCGATCCACGGTCATCCAGGCAATTACCCGTGCGTCAGTGTAATAAGGAAAACGCATAATGAATACATACCTTGTCCATGACGAATGCATTTGAACGAAACGTGAATTTCGCTGTTTCCGAGCGGACGGCGCTGCGGTCGAAATTCCTCGAATCTTACGAGACCGGGGCCAGGGCCCGGGGCAGGCATGGGCCAGGCGGCCCAGACAGGGCACCAGGGGCCGCCAGTTTTTAGACGATCGTCACCGTCACCGTCGAAAATCTCGGGCGTCGGTGTCAGTATCGGTCGGTACGACACCGCAGACTCGGAGAACAGTAAATAATCGAGGATGGCCAAGAGCGTGGCAGCGGTAGAATCGGAAGACGATAATGCTTCGTGCTACGAAACGGTGAATGAGAACGGGCTGGCAGTAACGTTGCGCAGAGAAACGGAATGCTATCGTTTCAGATCGTTCGACTTATTTTACTATTTGATCTCTATCAGTTTCTTTTTCATCGATATAGCAACAGGTGAACAAACAGTCAAAGCTGTATGTACGGTGCGCGCGTAATTGTAATCATTATTACGTAGTATATGTATAGTATGTATTTGTAAGAGAAACTGCTTGCTGCTTCAGCTGTATACGATGAGACTAGGTACTACTCGAGTATTGCAATATGACATTCGAGCAATAATACGAAAGGGGTTAACCGAAGGGGGCTATCGTGCATTTAGTTCCGTTTAACACGCCGTATAAAATGTACGTACAGACGCGGGTACAACGTGCAAAACATTCATTTCGACGGACAATTGAGTTCGTCAGCGTAGCTGTATGCCAGTGGCAGTATGCCAGGCGCGTAAACGCTTACCCTCTGCTACGATCAAATCTTACCTTTTGTTCCAGACAGTATCGTGTTCGTAGCGTACTTTTTCCAAGGTCAGTTCGTTTGGGGATCCTTCGCCTTGAGTTTTACCATTATACCCGCTGCCGTTATTCAGATGTTCAGTTTAAGATGGCATCACAACGACGGTTCTATAAAGAACGTGCATTGGTTGTTGCACTTTTTATTTTTAGGAGTATTATACAGGTATTATTACGTTTTCCGTTTCGTTTCACAACGTTCATCAGTCGTGGGCGAGTCACAGTTACCGAGATAGATAGAGAGAGAGAGAGAGAGAGAGAAAGAGATGAACAATTTTGTTTCTAGGTATTTAACATTACTTTACTCGACGATACATTCGTTGAGGAGCAAACGATTCGTCAAGGACAAAGATTGGGTGTACAGGCAGGAGAGCGACGTGTGCATGTTGCATTTATTCGAATCGTTCCTGGGGGCTGCTCCACAGTTAACGTTACAACTATACGTGATGGCAGTCTTACAGCGTATACCAGTATGGACAAGTAAGCAGTGTCAACTTGGAAGCGCGACGCGATTCGGGCGGAGGGAGGATCGAACGCAATCGTTCACCGTCTATCACCACGCGTTCGCTTCCGTCGGCGTTCGTCATCGCCTCGCGTGACGCTATACGGGCGAGTAGGAGAACAGTTTAAAATCGTTCTCGTAAACCTTGTTGATCTTGTCGAGCAACGGCCTAGGAACGTCTCGCATGTATCGTTCGACCAAAGCGGGAGTCGTGACTCCGCGCGGATTTATATTTCTCAACTCGTTCTCGGGCAGGTACAAGTCCAAGCCTAACTCTTGTATCAGGAACTTTTGATCCCTGTCGAAAGTGTCGAACTTCAATATGTAATCGTACTCGATCGTACAGGGCTCGCAGGTGTCGACGAACGGCGCCCAATGTTCGTCGAAGTACTTCTCCTCCGCTATGAATCGAAGGAATTCGGCGAACGTTGGCTCTATCCTGGTCTCGTTCGGTTTTCTGTATCGGTGATACCTGTGCGCGATGTGACGCCCGAACCTCTTGTAATAATAATCTCTTCCCTCCGCGTGCTCCAACTTATCCCTGTATGCGGACACGAGGCGTTCGAACGGATGGCGCACGATCAAAAACTTCTTCGTCTCGTTCAACTTCTGCGACAATAACGATCGTTAATTCCGGAGAAGTCCGCTTACTCACCTCCGATCATCGTCACGTACTCGGTACGTCTTCTTGATGTCCCGGTCTCGCGGAAACGCTCTTCTCACGACGGTGTTTATCTGCAGAACGTTCCTGCGGATCGATTCCATGGTCGATTCCGTGAGTGCACCGCCCAACGTGGCGAAGTGTTTCATCCAGGTAGAACTCGCGGCCTTGTATATGGGGCACCACGACACTCCGTGTTTCCTGCGCGTGAGAAACAGTGTTTCGAGTAGCGAACGATGCTCGTTGAAATATAGCTGAGGAAGTGAGTGAGCAAGTGATCGCGTCTCCTCCGTGGCGTACTTACGTGTCGATGATCATGTTCGATAACGCGTTCTCCAGATTCGAGCCCGTCCTCTCGATGGTCCGACAGCATCGTCCCAACTCGCTCTTCCTAGCGTTCAATCGCGCTCTCACGTTTCTCATCTCCTCTGTCGAAAACGCGCTACGCTCGACGCGCGCTTCACCGCTGATCGGATCGTTACCGCGTTTCTGCTTCCCGTTATCGACATAATTACCGGTCTTTGAACGTTTGCTGCTCGCGTGCAAACTTAACAACAACATAAAACACGCACATAATACAACGAGTATCGCAAATAACTTGAGTAACGCGAGTACATGCCTCTTTGAAAAATCCACGCGACACACGTTTGACATCACCGAGAGATACTCACTCGCGATCCTGTAAACACGTCCCGAACGAAACGCCTCGCGCGAACGCGCGCTCCACGCGCGATTCGTGACGTCAACGAGGATACTCGCGATAAAGAAAACGTCGCTGTTTCCCGTTCAGAAATGTATCCCTGTGCATAGAAGACGACAACGACTGTGAAAGACGGTCGCGGAATCCGAGCACGAGCATTTGAAACGGTGTAATCTTTGCTTCCTTCGACACGCCCCCCCCCCCGTAAAGATAGTAGAACGGTCGGGTCCAGCCGAGGACGTCGGGACGTGTCCGTCCGATGCGTCTATCTGTTCTAAAACGGAAAGGGTCTCGTCCGTAGAGAAGAATCGAATATTCGATCGGAAGGTGGTCACGACATTTAAAAATAATGTTCCGTTCGTTCGGAAGCGGGTGGGTCGGTGCGGTAAAAATAAACGCGGATCCCTTCGCGCCGGCCGCGATCGCGAACCATCGACGAGAGATTCGTACCAATATTCGAATCGACTCACGACTCACGGCGCTTAAAATTAATTGAACGTGCGCACAGGTCTGTCCGCCGTGGTCGCGTTCTGCTCGTTGAGCTGGGCCATCGGGACTTACACGAAGGCTACGCAGAAGATAAATCCTGGCCGTAACGGCGAATCGACGTGGATGGTACTCGGTCTTCAAGCTGTTTGGAGAGCCGGAACGCTCACGTCCAGAATAGCCGTATTGGTGTTAACGGCGATTTCCTTGCGGGAGTGGTCGTTATTGTTTCTGGGTAAGTGTGGTACGCGCGTGCGGCTCCTTCGCTCCCGCCACTCCTCGCTGTCCTTTGCCCGACCAGCCAAGACTATATCTCGACTCGTTGCAGGACTTCACTGGCTCTCGATGACCGCCTGGGTGATCCTTCACAACGAGGACACGGAGTTTTGTCCGAGCTCGTGGGAGGAACGCGTTTACAACTGCATCGTGGGCTTTATCTATTGTTTCGACTTTTTTAATTTACGCGTAGCGAGATCCCGTCACAAAATACTCCTCTTTTACTCGGTGATCGTGACCGAGAACATAGCTTCTTTGACCGTTTACGTGTTACGGTTCAAAGGCGCGATCAGAGTGAAAGATCTGGCGATGACGACGGGACTGATAGCCGGCGGTATGACCATCGGATTGACCAGTATGCTCTTCTACTACGCCAAGTTTCATTCGTCCAAGAGCATCGCCGACGAAGGGATGGCGAGGAGATCCACCGAGACCGTGATCAGCGACGCGCCCGTCGTCGCCCCCGAAACGGTCGAACGTTCCGTCGACACGGCCGATGCGCACGGTTCCGTTTTCGAGGACGCGGCGGCGGCGGCGACGGCGGCGGCGACCGACGAGAAATTCTTGTCGACCAGCGAGATCGGCCGAATTCCCGAGTACGCGGACACCGGTGTAGTCAGTCGAACTCGTCGAATCGAAGACGAACGAGCATCGTCGACGCTGGCGCCGACGACGACTACGGCTGCGACGACCACGTCCGTTCGAATCGTCTCGGAGCGCGTCGTCGAGTCGGCGCAAAGCAACGCGAGAGATGAAAACGCGCCGTCGCTGCGCGGTCTACCGTCGGACGACGGCCGCGAGTACGCCGAAGCGGCGAAAGACGAACGCACCGACGGCGGTGAGAAGGACGTCGTTCGTCGTCCGAAACCGATGACGGACGACGAGGACGAAGAAGGCGCAACGACGGCGAGGCCGAAACGCGATTGCTCGCCGTCGCAAAAGAGACGAGCCATCTGTTTTTCTAGTCACCTGATTCTCGAGATGGAAGACGATCGAAGCGATCGTCCTATCGCCCCGACGACGGCGTCCACCAACGTGACGGCGACGTCGGCAGGTGAAGCGAAGAACGCGGCGACGCGCGAGGAGTCGGAATCGGAATCGGAGGAACGTTTCGTCGGCGATCGGAAGATTTTAAAAGCGTTCAACGACGTCGCGTCGGCGGGAACAGGAGAGTCGAAGTCTCGGATGATCTTCAACGATTCGTACGACACCGTCGGGAACATGGACAGCTGCGAAACGGACGGATCGTCGAAAGAATCGCAGCAGAGGGACGAGACGATGAGCTGCGTCGCTTCGATCCACGACTACGAGAACGTCTGCCCGCTCGGCGTGGCCAGACCGCCGTGGTGTATCCGCAGCTGGAAAGGATACACGGACATAGAAACGTACATACACGACGATAGCGTGATCAGGGACAGGCGTAGGGACACGTTGACGAGCACGACGACCGGCACCAGTTGCAGCTACGGTTCGGAATTCTCCGACGCGACGTGCGTCAGTGGTTCGATGTTCAAGGGGATAGTAACCAAACAACTGCTGCAACAGCAGCAGCAGCAGCAACAGGATTATCTCGAGGCGCTCGCTTACGATCCGATCGACCCTCGGGAATTGCAGAGGACAAGGACAAGGTCGGCCGCGATGTACGACGACCACGACGACGCTCGACGAAGAGGAATCTCTGGCGAAGCGGAAGAACGAAGATCCGGCCGATACGTCGCGAGGCCGGTGACGATGGACACGACAGCGGGAACGGACGTCGCGTTGGACACCATCGTCGAAGAGCGCGACGCCGAAGTTTTGCCGGAGAGTAAATACGAACGGGCGGACGATGCCCGGAAGAGAAACGATCACGATTCGGTGAGCACGCTGGTCAGCACGATCGATCAGATCAGAAAGTACACGGTGGAAAATTCGCCGAGACACGTGTATTACACCACGGGTAGCCAGTGGGAGGATTTCGACGCGAAGAGTCTGACAGAGAGAAGAACGCGGCCGACGAAAGCAGCGGCGGTTCTCTTCGAGAACGAAGAGAACGAATTTGCGGATGTCGGCGGTACGCGAGCGTACGCGGTTCGTCGCGCGATGCCCGGCAATTTCGTAGAATCGGAGAAATCTCGGACTCGAGAGAAGCGCGAGATAGACGCGATCAAGGATTTCGTGAAATACTGCGCGGTGGAATCGATCGAGAAGACACCGTTGATCGACGCGATACTTTCGGATTCACCGATTCTAGGAACCGACAAAACGAAGCTACGACCGGCGAAGAAGCGGGTTCTCGTTCCAGCGGCGCCGCTGTCGCCGCTGTCGCCGCAGCCCGTTTCCAAGGACAACGATCTTTACGTCGAGATGAATCCTTTGGTGTCCGTTGAAAACGTTATGATCGTACGGGACGATTTGTCGGAAACGGCTAATGCCGAAGGAAACGCGGGCCAGTCGAGCCACGTCGTCCCGACGACCAAGGATTCCACGAGCACGTTCACGTCGAACGCGAATTTTGATCGCGGGACAGAACAACCGGAAAAACGCGTAAAAAAACAGCCGGATTGTTCGAGGCGAAGATTCTGTTTGCTGAAAGAAAAATTCGAATCCAAGTCGCAGCTAGTTTACGTCGTGACTCCGAAGAACGCGGTGAAAGCCGAACGACGATCGCAGGAGCCGAGTAGCAAGTGCGGCGCGTCCAGGGAGGACGTCGTCTTCGCTGATCCGAACAAGTGTCGATCCGAACGTACGAGGCGCGATAAAGAGAATCTGGCGCCTGTCGCCTCTCCCAGAACGAACGCGAACGACGGATCTCGCTCGATTCGTCGAGACTTACGCTCGAAACGTGGCAACGACGAATCTTCGCGTGACATCGGAACCTGTTTCAACTCGAAGGAAAAAAGACATTTGTTTCTAGGACAAGTTTTATCGCCCCCTAAACTGTTGATCTGGAAGAGGCGAGGCGGCAGCGCGGCTATCGTGAAAAACGTTTGATTAAACCATCCATGTCGGATCTTCAGATTTTAGAGAACCTGCCGCCTTGTTCCACAGGAGACAATACTATTTACGTACATACGCGTCTGTACGTATCCGTATGTTCATAAACATTTTAAGACATCGTCGTTGTCCCTCGTGTCCAGAATCGGGGACCATGTTTTTCTACTTGTTTTACAGGGAACAACGGGAAAGTCGTGTCTTCTATCCATTTTATTAAGTACGTGGACCAACTGTCTATCTGATCGTTGCCAAGTGCCAAGTAAAAATTACATCTTACGATACTGTAAATCTGCGATAATTATACGTACGAAAATTATTTTCATACACACCAATGTTACGTCGCGATAAGAAGATTCTTTCGGAAAGGAAGAAGCTTATTAAAAACTCGTAAATCTATCCTGAAACGTGTTGTATGTATCGTTTTATATAAACTTGTATCTAACGCGTGGTACGCGTCAACGTGAGTTAACGGACCACAATTTTGTACGTTATAAAACGTACACTATTCCCTAAGGTACGTCGGCGGTGTTCAAAATTGAAATTACACATCTGTTCGCAGAGCTGTTTGTACTCCTCCGTCGTGTCGCCTGTCCTCTCACCTGTGCTCGCGGTACACATTTAGCAAAGTAATCTTACATCACGCACGGACCGAACGAACGAGAAAACGGTCGAGCAAGTTCAAAAGAGAGTTGGGCGATGAAATTAAGAAACTAGTCAGTCTTTCCCATCGAAAACGACGTCGGCGTCGTTAAAAAAAAGTCGGGTAAAAAAATGGCAGTTGAGAAAATTTGGTAAAGTACGGGCGTCGTAGTATGAGCGTACCACGATACTTATACGACGCGCTCGCTGCACGCGATGACAAATATTGTTCGATCTCTCTGGCTGCGCGCGTGTACATAGCTACACGTTCGTTGAAACGATCGAATATCAGTCGCGCGATACGAACGACAGATTAAAATTTGAAGTCGCGACGGGAATGCGAAACTAAACTCGAGACGACGGACGGTCTCTACGGATCGGACGGGAGAAGGAGTTTAAATCAGAGTACTCTCTCCGTTATTCGTATTCCCGTTGCACCTCTTTATCCATTGGACGTGACATATGAGCGGTAGACTACGCAAATTGTTGCATACGCGGCTGCCGAGGGTGTTTTTCCGTAACTCCTGAGCAACCTGATGCAGAGACTTACCTCTCGTCTCGGGAATAAACAAGAAAACGTAAAATATCGTTACCAGACACATGAAACTGTAAAACAAGTACGATCCGGCCAACGTGAGCGACTCTGAAAGTAAAAGAGAAACTCGTGTACGCGACGCGGCTACGAGGTAAACGGGAGAGATTTACTCACTGGCCATGGCACTGACGGATTCCGTCGCGGCGATATGCGTGATCCATATGACGATCGTAGCAAAGCTGAAACATTTTCCTCGTACCGCCGCGGGGAAGACTTCCGTGAGATTCAGTAGTGGCACCGGTCCTAAACCCAGAGCGTACGCCGCCTCGTACACGAGCAACGTTATCACCGCCAAGATACGCAGACCACCCGTAAGACCTTCGGACACGGCAATGTTCTGCGTCTGTGGAAACGGAAACGATGAGCGAACGCGACGGATCGTTCGTCGTTCCTCGTACGTACCTCGCAAGATGCTTTCACCTGCGTCCACGTCTCTGGGCTAGGCGCGATCACGGCCAGAGGTGTCGGCAGCAAGGGAAACGGCGGCGGCGACCCAGTAGGTAAGCCGCCGCCGCCGCCGCCACCGGCCCCGCCACCGCGAACTTTCACGACTTCGTTCAGCTGATTTTTGCAATAATTATTTACGACTTCCAAATTGTCCTCGCCTCTGTCTATGGTAGCGAGCAGAGAGAGCAGCGAGATCGTAGTCATGCAGATGGTCGCGGACGTGATCAGTGCCGTTCGACGTCCACATCTCTCCACTATCACTAGAGACAGCATCGTGCTGAACACCTTTACGATGCCGAGCGATATCAAAGCCGTCACTTCGGCGACGTCTGCGAAACATGGGTGCAAAATGCGAGTGATTAAACTTAAACCGGATCTGATCGCGCGAGCATCGAGACCGTATCGAACGTGGTAAGGATCGAGCAAGTTGGAAAGATGAACAAATAGTTAGATAGATAGATAGATAGGCAGACAGACATAGATATCGGGCTAGTAGAATATAATAATGCTTACTGGAACAAATGCCGAGTAATGCGAACAATCGTGGAGCGTAATGCAAAACTTGGCGTTTACCGGTGCCTTGTTGCAGTATCAGCAAAAAAGCCATGATCGTTAGAGTCTCGAATACCGTGTACCAGGCCTTTTTCGACGACGCCTTCGAGACGTTCGCCATTCGTTTGTAGAGTAAAAACGGCGGTGACCGTTGGAGGAAGATGATAGTGACGATACAAGCGGCCAAGGCGGGCACGGCCGTTATACCGATCGAAAATCGCCACTGATAGTCTATGCTCTTCACGGCGGCAGCGATCACCGATACCAAAAATCCGGTCGCAGTGCCCAATTGATACAACGTCACGTTGTATCCTCGTTTGCTCGATTCAGATACTTCGGCCATGTATATGCAGTGCGCCACCGCGGAAACCGATCCAGAGTATCCGCAAATTATTCGAGCGACCAGCAGCAGAATGTAATGATTCGCCAGAGCCGACAGCATGGCACCGAACGTCAAGAATATCAGCGTCGATATCATCGTCCAACGTCTGCCGAACGAGTCGATCAGAAACCCTACGAAAAAGATTCTCTCCTTTAATCCTTACGCATACTTACCATCGATCTACCCGCGTAGATACGACAGTTGGCCGTTTCGATCCGGTTTACTTACCACCGCTCAAACCACCGAGAAGAGCTCCGACGAACCAGATGCTTATGACGAAGTCTCTCTCGAAACAATTCAAGTTGAACTCGTGTTTGATCAGCGGAGCTATGGGTTTCGCGATGCTCATATCGCATCCGAAAGCGATACCTGCTAGAATCGCTACAGTAGAAACGAAGATACTTTTATTTCCCGTCGTCAACGGTGTCAAATTATCGTTTTGCTTGGGGACCGGTTTCCTCAAATTTTTCGCTGGTATGTATTGGCAGTCCTCCGGACCGACGATCTTCTTCGTAGACGCATTCTCGAACGTCTTGTTTGCATTGTTCAGCAGTATCGCTGTGTCCTCCTCGTCCGACATTTCTATCTTTCAACCGTGCCACCACGATACGACGACGACGACGACGACGACGACGACGGCGGCGACGGCGACGACGTCCGTACGTACGTAGAAATGTTACATTAGAAGAATCTGAAACACCACCACTTTACAGAGTCAACGATAAACGAACGATGAGTTTGTTCCGATCCCGAACAGACAGATCACGTTCGACGGTTCGATCGGCTTCACCCTGTTATGCTGCTGCTGCTGCTGCTGCTCGTGCTGCTGCTCGAACGTATTTTGTCGGGAACGTAATCGAGAAAAAGATCCGAATAAGTATACAGAGTTTACAAAAGTGTTGACCAGCACTCGAGTCCGCGATCGATTCACGCAAACGCAAAACGATTCCTGTACCACCTATGCTGCAGCCTACTCACCACATGCTCACGAGCACGTCTAGTCCAACGCACTAAGCAGCACCACCGTCGGAGCGGCAGCAACCAGGTCAGCGACCAAGCCGAGGATAAGAGGAAGCTGCCTGATGATGATGCGTCCTCAGAACGGTTCAGAACGCATAGGCACCGAAAAGATAGTATTAAAAACTGGCAGTGCCCGTATAATCCTTGAGACAGCGAATGGGGCTGTTGTACCACTCGCGCGATCTCTCCTCCCTTAGCTGCCTGATGATTAGCAACATTAGTCATTCAGCATCTGTTCTCCTCTCGGTTTCTCCGGTGGTCCGGTCGTGCGGGGCCGTCAGGCGTTCGTCGTGAGAAAGTGTCGTATACTTTTGAAACTGCATTCGATATCGGATTGGATGAGCAATAGCCTGTTACCATGTGTGTAACTATACATATATATTTAGGGATACAGAATAAAGTGCGATCAGATAAAATATTTGGAAATGGAAAATACGTATGCGTCAGTATGCGTTTACTGCGACATTGGATGATGATGACGAGGAGGTAAGAGGGAGATACAGCGATATCCAGAATCAGATGTTAGATGTTGAACGTGTTCGGGCATTTTACGTGTATGTACAGAAAAGTATCCAAAGGAAAATAAAGTCGTATCAAAACTATAGATCACAAAATGTGTATACAAAAGTTTACATTTAACGGTTCAACAAACCTGATACATCGCACAGATCGTCGTTATATATTCATTTTATCAAATGATTTATACACACATATATGCAGTTATGCATATACAATGTTTACGTTTGTATACGTATAAATGCTATAGATTGCTCGTGAAAATTTTATATTCTCCTATACAGGTAGAACATTTAAAGGGAACAATACAACTTCGTTATTTTTCTTTCTTTTCTCTGCTCACACGAGCATCCCGACCCCGTACCCTATTTTTACGATAAGTTCTATGTGTTTTCTCTCATTTTTCCACAAAACAAATAACGTACCATCGAAAGAAACGTGAAGAACGTCGGTAACGTTTCTCCCGATTCTTTCCCCCTTTTTTCCCTTTCCTTTGAACGAACACTTTAAAAATAATAGATATTTATCGATACATCAACGCGTACAAATGAATAATAAGATGTGCTGAACAAGCTCCGTACGACCCACGAGTGGAACTGAAGAACTAAAGAATCTGTCGAATCGTGACGAGAAATCTTTTTATGAGGAAAGCTGATCAATCGTAACCGATAAAAATACGAAAGAAATCACACTCGCGAGAACGTTCAGTTTCTTTCTTTTTCTCCTTTTATCACGTTACGTATCAATTACAGATTTAAAACAATGCAACATTACAACAGTGTGGCTGAAATTCGTCGTAAAATTGTTAAGTAAGTATATACACGCGTACGTTAACTCTGGTGTTTGATCATAACATTTGCGTCGTTCGTTCATCTATTCGTTTTACTCGTTTATCTTTACAAATTACTTTTCCTGGTCGGCTCGTCGTTCACAAGATTCGCTTTCAGGCCGAAACGCGTCAAGACAAATAGATGTAACGAACGTTTGGTGTACAGCTTCTGCGAAATCATGGTATAATATACGTATTCGTACAAGCTCTTTGTACAACGAAATCTGTTTGTTTTTTTCTTTCTTTTTTTTCTCTATTCACGATATTAGTGGGCACGTTACTCGTGGCACGTAACAAATGTACGCACTCGTAAGTCGACGTCGTAGTTTCGATCGGAATACTCGATCAACAGTTCCCGATAGGTTTTCTAGTTTAGTTACTTATCCGTGATAAAACTGCATCGCTGGTATCCAAGTACGCGCGGGCGCGTACAACACTTGACCGTATCAAACATATATGCACATATGTGTATATATGTGTAATGTACGTATGTAAGTGTGTCAGTGTGTGTGTGTTATCGATTCTTCGATAAATGTCTCTTACGACAGTATCATTGTTTCGCGTTGGAATGATACTTAAACGCAAAGGAAACGCAGTACCCAAATCCGATAGACGTTAATCGTCCAAATCGTTAACGTGGAGAACTTCTCTATGCGTCAATCCAGCCTCGGACAGCGTCCACATCTCTCTGCACGGATACAGGATTCTCTTCGGAAAACTGGTCGTGATTTCAAAACTGACGGGCGAATCCGGCTGACTGAATATCCAATGGTACACGTCCTGAAGCGAACGAGATCGTTACGATTAAACGGTCGAGGCGAAAACAACAAGTGTACGAGCGAACGGTCTACCTCTATCGTGTTGGTCATCAGGAAACGTCTTATCATAGTCCTTTCACCGAGTTTAATTTGAAGATGACACGCGTTAGGATCGGTAGGCTCGGGTTCGAGAGGCACTTTGCAAACGGTGAGTTCTTTCTCGCGACGAATCCGTTGAATCTCCATTTCCTGCGCGTTCAATTCCTCCTTCTTCCTGGCCTCTCGTTCCTCCCGTGCTCTTCGCTCCTCCTCCCGTCTGCGATCCTTCTCTTGATCCGCGCGTAACGATTCCTCGTACGCCTGGTCTTGCTGTTGACGCAAAGACTGCGCCGCGCTACGCTCCGCTCTACGTGCCCGAGAACCGAGAATAAGTCATGCGTTGGATACGACGAAAACGATTAACGCGACTTCTCACCTTTCTTGACGAGCCAGTATCAAATTGATCTCGTTGTGATCTATGATCGTTTGTAAACGGGACATCAACTCGGTAGGAGACGGCGTGCCTTCCAGTCTGTGAACAATCGAATCGAATGAGCGGTGGTACCGTCATAGAACACGTGGCGCGAGCATTACGCGTAGAGACACGTACCGGCCGACGATCGTCATTTTGTTGTCTTTCAAGACGATGATCGCCAGAAAAGGATAAGATCCAGATTTCAAATCTTCCGCTACTTTGTATCCCTCGCCGGACTGCACGTTGCATGCCCAGAAGAGGGTACGCGTATTTATGTACCGTACGACTTCCAGATTACCCAACGTAGTCCTGCGTAGGACAATATAAAGATTACGCGCCCGGCCTCTACGGAAAACCGTTACTGCCAATCCGTTGCTCGCACTTTACCTGCACCATTGATCGATGTTCTGGGCTTCGTCTTTGTGCAAGTATACCAGTAGGAACCTTAATTCCTGTTTGGCATCCGAAAGAGCTTGGCTGTAAGAACCCTGGTAAAAAACGGGATGACTGCTACCATAGCGTTCCTCGTAGGACCGAATGAAACTGACGACGTCTTCGACAGGGTCGGAGGAGACTACTCGAAAAGCAAACGACACAACGTAAACGTATTGTCCTGTGCGTCGTACAATCGGTAGTCGGAGGCAACATCGCGAGATTCGGAGACGTACCGGGTCTGACGTTTCTTCCGAATATCGAAAGAAGTAGCTGCAGTATACTGATCACCCTCTCGTAACACAAGGAGAAGATGTACCATAAATAACTGTTTCTGTCGCTGGAGCCTCCGGAGAAGTGAAAATATATTCTGGAACTGCTATCGTCAACGACTTGTGGTGGTCTCGATCTCGAGTCCTGCGCGTACATCGAAGGTCTTCCCTCGTACAAGTTCAGTTGTTCCTAAACGAAGAGAGAGTGAGATCGGAGAACGTTGATTCTCGTGACGAATCTACGTTTGCATGGTTCGTCGAACGGAACGGAGGTGCTCGCCTCTCAAACAACGACGAACAACTGGGTTCAGTCTTCGTACGACCCGTTCGTGACATGTGATACGCGATCGAGAAAATAAAATCTACCTGAACGGCAACCTCTAAATTCCAATTGTGCCTCTGCAAGACATCTCTGCAGATCGACAGGTCTTCGATGCCTGTCAGGTCCTGAAAGCGTGATAAAGAGGACATTAGTCGATCGCGAGAATAACGCGTCGAAAACGGAAGGGCAGGGTTCGCATGAAGCGCACCTGAAACTGTAGGATCTTCTCGGTCTGATCGCTGGTGAACCCGTTCAACGCGAAATCTGCCATGTCGCGGTGGCGACGACGACGGGCGACGCGTGCTCGCTCGCTCGCTCGTATCGGCAAACTAGACTAGAAAATCTCTGACGATCGTTTATTTACGCGACTATACACCGAACTTCAACCGAATGCATCAGCTGATGAAGAGACCAGACGCTCGGACAGTATTATGATAAAACTTGGCGAGCATTTGGAGTGTGCGGTGTGGCGACGATACGTCCCAGTGTCCGAGAACTCGAGATCCACGATTTAACCTCGAACGCGCGTTCTACGCGAATGTCTGACGGGCACTCGTGCGTGCGCGGATCGCGGATCTATGGACCGTGGTTCATTGTCGTCGCGACACGTTTCGTTTCATCGCTCAGTTCTACGTCCGATGTTTTCGGTGTCATGACTCTTTACGATAATTTACAGTTTCTCAAGGTTCTATTTCATGCGGCACGACTTTGTATGACGTCAGCTGCATGCATCGGCCGAGATAGGAGATGGAGATACGACCGCGATCGTTCGGTCTCGTCTTCTTCGCCCTTCGATTTGAACACATTTAAAAATCACGTTACAACACTTTCATGAACAATCTTTACGATGATATTACATTTCTACCGATTATATATTATACCTATTCTCGTAAAAAAATTTATAAGCTCGTCATGTCTGATGACGTGAACGTGAACTTCCAATGAAAAATGACGACTCTTTCTAACTATATCCGCTTGCTCCGCGGGTATAGTGCCATTTTGTGTTAATTCACCAGATCGCTGGTTCTCACGTTGTCACTATTGTTCCTTTTCTGCTTTTCTCCTCTGGCTTTCCGCACCTTTCCGTTTGGTGCCTCGTGAGAAGCGGTATGTTTTCTCCTACGGAATCCGAAAATTCAATAAAAATCACCCATTTCCTAAAAAATGTACGCACGATAACTCGATGAGAACGAACGAAAAATAATAGGACGCGCAATAGGTTTTACGTATGATTCAGTGTGACAATTACACGAGCTAAACTTGTATCAGGAAATGTGTGATGTCGTCGTGAATCGTTACTGTGTCATCGCTATTAATTGATATATTTGTTGTTGCGAATTTAGTTGTACGGCATCGAACAAAAATGGCTATTCGACCAGTGTACAGGCCTACGATCGTGAAGAAGAGGACGAAAAAGTTCATTCGTCATCAGAGCGATCGTTACAGTAAACTGAAGGTTCGTCGTGATTGATCATTTTGTTTAATCAGACTGCCACGAGGATCTTATCTGTATGCGTAACCTGTCTCATCTGTCTAGAGGAACTGGCGTAAACCAAAAGGTATCGACAACAGAGTGCGTAGGCGTTTCAAGGGACAGTATCTGATGCCCAACATCGGTTACGGAAGTAACAAGAAAACGCGTCACATGCTACCGACTGGTTTCAGGAAAGTTTTGGTACACAACGTCAAGGTAAGAAAAGTTGACTCCTGTATAGATCGACGAGACTACCTTCCGAACCGTGTTCTGCTCTTGCCCGCGTCCTCGTCCGAACCGAGGTGTTTTGCATACTCTCTTGCAAGACACATCGTCACAGACGTAAAACGGTAAAATCTATTTTAATCGACGACTTGTAGGAATTAGAAGTTCTGATGATGCAAAACAGAAAATTCTGTGCCGAAATTGCCCACGGTGTAAGCAGTAAAAAACGTAAATCGATCGTCGAACGTGCTCAGCAACTTTCAATAAGGGTGACCAATGCCAATGCGAGACTGCGTTCTCAAGAGAACGAATAAAACCATATTCTTGTTTGATTTAATAATAAAGCGTTTAAAGTAAGTCCGGTATTTGTCAAGTTATTTTTTTATATTCTCGACATGATATAATATTTCCCGATCTGATCCCATTACTTGCGTTCGTAACGAAACGCTGATAGTTGGCCACTCTCGTACGGTACGGTACGGTACGGTACGGTACGGTACGGTACGGTACGGTACGCGTGAATCGATAGGTCTTTAACGTCGTCATCGTGGGTCGATACATCGTAAAAATGATTTATTAAAAACGTATCCACGCCACAGTATATTTAACATAAATATAACATTGATCACAGTGTGCACGTATTTTTACAGTATATAAAATACAGTAATGCTCGATGTAATTCGTTGAAGGTAAACGAAAAAATAGGAAAATCGACAAGTACTTTGTTTGCCTCAAACCTCGCACGTACGCATTAGACTTGTACCATAAACACAGTAACGATACATGGTTGCTCGACGACTATCGATTCTGCATCGTATACGCGTCGCGTGATACGAGCCCGATCGCGTAGTTCAATTAATTTAAACGTTCCTCATTTTATTTGCTTCGAGTACCCTCTGTCCTTCAAGAGACCGTCCAGCGCCTCCTGGGTATAGTAAACGACAAAGTCGTTGGACGCGACGCCTTCGAACACGGTGTAAACCGAGGGCTTCAAATTGTAGAAAAATAACGGTTGGCCTCTCTCTGCAAAATCTTTCGTCAAATGCTCGATCACCGTGGCCGCTGTAAAATCTGCTCCGTAAATATGGGTACAATCGATGACGACCGGAGTAGCTACGCTCCCAGCTCTCTGGCTGTACTTGGTGACTAAATTTCGGACATAATCGACGGACGGGAAGATTAGACATCGATCCGGAGTCAACATCAGGTACCGAGTGCCATGTCGAGTCTGTAACAGAGGAGTCGACAAAGGAACGCACGCGTACACGTCGTTTGTCCGGAAACGTATAAACGGCGATGCAAAGTATAACGAGTTTCGAGTTTCTTTACCGTAAGCTTCTCCACGGATATTTTCGGCCTTGCTGCGTGGTACAAAATGAATAAAATGTTGATTCCGATGCCGCAAAGAATTCCGATTTCCAGTTGCAAGAGTAAACACGCGATAAACGTTCCCACTCCAGGTATTAAATCAGATTCTGGAAAGATGTTGGCGTTAAACAAGGTACTGCAGTATCTAATTCGAACAATTGATTGGGAATCAACGATTTACTTTTGGTTCTCCACATCGGCTTTACGACTTTCACCTCGACCATGAATATCACTGCAGCTATTATAATCGCGGCGAGCGTCGTTTTCGGGATGTAGCCGAAATAGGGAGTGAGAAATAAAAGTGCTATTATCACCAAAGTGCCTGAAAATGTAACGAAATCTTTCGTTCAGACGATGATCTTGACCGAACGAATAGAATCATCGGTGTACGTATCGGATCATAGATTACCAGTATAAATTCCTCCTAAAGGCGTTCTAACTCCAGAAGCATTGTTTACCGCGCTTCTGCTGAGAGATCCTGTACCGGGAAAGGCCTGAACAAAAGAATTACCAACGTTTGACATTCCAATCGCTATTAATTCTTGTGTCGCGTCAACTGATTTCCCAGTTGCTGAAATAAATACGAAATCCTTTCCTGTTATTACACATTACATAACTGCTATTTCATAACGCGTGCACATATTTGCTCGTGAACGAGATCGGCTTACAGAAGGCTTTGCAAATGGCAATGTCCTCCATCAGCGAGATAAGCGGCAGAACGACGACGCCGCTTCCCAGATTCGTGACCATGTCCAAGAACGTTACCGTCGTGTTGCCGTCTTTGGTGTAACCAAACGGTGGTAGCTGTACACTCGGTATCCCTTCCGGTATATATCCTGAACAGAACGTATCGTACTACACTTTCGTCGTCGTGAAGCGTTCGACTCGTAAATCGTCGATTCGATTCTGAGCCGTGAAAATGCTCAATCTCTTGAATAAGAGAATAAGAGATTCATCGCTCTTACCGACCAACTTGAACGGAGATTCCTCTCTAAAACCATATCCTAACAGACCGCACAGTATCACTAGAAGCGCGTTTCGTGACGTACCGAACAGCCAAATCAGTTTATTCACGACGCGATACTTGGTACCACGCAGCTCCTCGTCTTTAGGGCCGACGGTGTACGATGCTACGAGCTACAAACAAAACGCGTGTTGGTCGAGCAACCATGGTCAAGTGACACACGCAGCGCGTATCATCTGTCTGTGATTAAAAATTGATACGAAGACGAGGAGGTACGAAGCGAGGTGCACCTACCCTGAGAAGTAGAAGGAGCGCTATACAAGATACTCCGAGGCTAGCGTCCCAAGCCGAGGTCTCGTGTATATGATCGACAAGGTTCTTCCACATCTCCAAAAACTGTGAACCTCTCACATCGATGCCGAGTACGTCCTTCAACTGCGAGGTGATAATTATCAAAGCCACCGCCGACGTGAATCCGGAGCTGACCGGCCCCGACACGAAGTCGATTAAGAATCCTGAAACGCGCGGTACTCAGTCCAATTAATTTTGGTTCGCGCGTCGAAACTACTACTACTCGAGCATACGACACGGTAATTATTATCAACGTTTACCGAGACCGAATATCCCCATTGTCAACTGTATGACGCCCGTCAGGAAGCAGAGTAGTATCGCGTGCTGTAGCCGATCGTCGATGCGCGAAATCGTCTGAGAAGTGAGGAGAGAGACGATGGCGCTCGGTCCCATCGGCGTGTCTTTACACGATCCGAATATCACATAAATGAAGCAGCCCAGGAAGCTGCCGTATAATCCGTACTGAAACGCAGACAATTGCCTTGCCGTGAAAATGTTCGACGTTTTGAGGAGAAGTAAGAAATTTCCGCTCGACAGTTCCTGATACTGACTTCCGGCGGTAATTCGGCTACGTTGGCGTACGCCAACGACTGCGGAATCACGGTGAGACCGACGGTGACACCGGCGACGAGGTCGCCGACTGCATCTTGCCCGCTGTACCTCGGCAACCATGTCAAAATCGGCAATCTCTTGTAAACGGTCTTCTTCGTACAGATCGACTTGCATCGTCGCCTGACGTAATACAACGCGGAATCGACGAAACTATCCTTATCCTGGCTCCTGTAATCTGCAGGGTCTTCTACCACTGTGGAGAACAATATTATTCGGTATCCAGTTAGCCGTCCAGTTTGCCCAATTAAGAAATGATAACTCTGTATCGATCGTAAACAGAGTGATCGATCGTTAACCCATGACCATTAAAGAGGAACGATGCTCTAGGATCGTGTGGTCCAAGTAAACATGCGCTTTGTACCGGACGAAAAACACGTTAGTCTTTTAGTTGGAGCATTTACCATTTGCTCACGTCTGAACACTCTGAACGTCCTGGTGTCAGGCCGATCGGGCAGGCTATGCGCGTTAATGAAGAGTGACGAAAGGAATCGCAGGATTTCGTTGTCCGGCAGGAGAGAGGACGGATCGTTGATCATTCCGTTCGGATACGTAGGTGTATATGTATGATCTATCGAGCATGAATTAAGTAGTCATTTTAATAGTGCGTGCTTACGGATAAAATCCGAAGAACCTTGTGTTCCTTGACGACTTCCATAGGAATCGTTTATGTTCTGAGAGTTGTTGGAACGATCCAGATTCAAACTGTCTCCCGAGTCGCTCAAGGCATGATTCACGTATGCTCCGTTTTTGTTCGAATCTTCGCTAGGATCCCGTGCTCTGTTCTTCTTGCTCATTCTGAAAACCAACCATTCACTATCCATATAATCCATCATCCACCAGTACTTGTTTAACGTAGCTGCACTTCGTACTACGACGATGCTTAAGGATGTATTGGCTATACAGTCAATCCCAAAAGTTAATATACTTTAGAAAAACGCATTTCCCACGATAAAAAATAAATCAGACGTCAGAAGAACAATGCTAATAATAAATAGCTACGTGCTAGAAAGTATAGAAGGAAATATCCAATTAATTATTGATGACGGCGAAAAGTTTTTTATATAGAAATTGAGATCTCGTCGTCCTCTACAAGAAAGGTCGTATGCAATTTTCCCATATCTCCAAGGGTTTAGGAGTTATTGAGGAAAAACGAAAATTTCGCGAAATCTGAAGGGGGTACCCCTTGGAAAAATCTCGGAAAAATCGAAAATTTTTTTTCCCTCAAAATATCGAAGAATGCTTCAAGTAAAAGTTGTAGGTGATACTATTACCTATTTTAGCTTTTTAATAGTAATAGGAATCTATAATAATAAATTCAACATGCTAGCATTGTTTAAGTCTATAGCCTATACATCCTTAAGTAGCTGTGCGGGCACAGCGTCGTCGGTTGTGCTTGTTCATCAAACGAAACGATCACCGACCACTAATTCGTTACGCTTCTTGCCTACGTGCTTTTCTGCACGATTTTGTTCGTGCCTCATGGGTCACTATTGAACTTGATTCGCAATTAATCCAGCGAGTCAATCGCAGTCTTTTGAGAATGTAAACAAAATTATGAAGCGTCACGCCGGGTGCACGCGTGGGAACAATTTACATTCTGGAGCGATGAATATGTAGCGCCGATCGATTATCTGTCAAATACATATGGATCGGTTCGATGATATCGGTGGTCATAATTATAAAAAGTCGCATGTGACTCGGCCGCTCGCTCGCATTTGGAAATATCATGTCTTGAATTAGCAGCATTACGCAAATACCAGTCACACGGATCGGTCGGTGATCAATTATCTTCGTCGGATGAATTATGATCTGCGGCGAATACCGGAGCGTTCCCAGTTTCGTCGATCGCGATAAGTATCGACGACACGATCGATCGACGACTTTACTAGTTTTCAATCATCCCTATAATTCTCTCGTCTTGCAGCCGACGACGATACATCTTGGCGCGCACGAAACATTCGTTACGGTCGCAGATCGCGCAGTATTTCCTTTCCGTATGCGACCACTGCGTGCTACTGCGTTTTAAATACGCTTGGCGCAATGCCTCTCATAATCTGGTATTTGCTCGGCGATTACACCGACCGAAACATGCTCACGGTACGTCCGCGTTCGATTCACGCCACGAGAATTCGCGCAACGTTTATGCATCAACGACCGGAACGATCCGGAGTTAGCCGCCACCCGCGAGAAAGGGGATGATCGCCGACCATTAAGGAACATTTCGCTGTGGCTCGGGGAATCGTTGGTCGCCATCGATCATCGTCCAGGTGCGGAATGAACGTCGAACAGAGGACGAAGTGGAGGAGGAGAACTATGTTCTGGAACGCTCGTCACATGATTCGCTCGTGCAACCGGTAATTCAGTGGTGTCACATGCTTCTGAATCAACGCTGTCACGCGGTCCCCTCGATCACTGGCATTCGACCGCGCGATACGCGTGTACGTGTAGTACGTAGAGACCGAACCGCGTGCACGCCAATTAATTCAGTCGAGCATTATTTTGCATGCAAATCGCGGCGCGTGCGGTGCGCGCGACTCTGTCTCATTTAGAACCTTGCCTACAAATTATGCGACGCACGATATCGATCAACCCGACCCCCAATCGAGACCGGTACGCCTTCAAGGTGTACATTCTATACTCGCCGCGCCGGTGAGCATGGGAAACTATGCGATACCAGTCGTCAAACCGTGTTTCGATCTTGATACAGGTGACTCTCGACGATCAGCCAAGTTTCCCTCGATCACTTCTTATCAGGGTCGTAATTCGTTATGTAGAAACGCTTTCGGAGATCAGCCGAACGAGTCGTTGGAAACTTCTTACCCATCCGTTCGTTCGCTCGTCTACTCGATACATTTTTCTACGCTCGTCTCGCTGCACGATGCAATTGCTCTTCTCGCGTGCCTCCCTACTTATGTTCGATCGTTGTCGTGCGACAGAATTCCTTTTACATGTAAATCCGATTGTCAAAGAGACAAAGGAGCCACGTCGGAACCATTTGGCATCGTGAAAAACGACTGAACGTCTTAATTACAGACGACTTAGCAAGAAGATGAAACGACGACGACGACGACGACGACGACGACGACGACAATGTGGTCGCTTTTTCTTTTGAAATAAGCTACGGCGTTCAGCCTTTTGACGAGTATAGCGACCCGGTAGAGCTCGGATGATAAAACTGAATAGATTCGTGAGCGCACTTGGGCATTTCATTTAAGCGATCAGTCGCTGAGAAATAATTACTGCAACAAGGACGCACGCGTAATGTAATCGACGAGTCGTGTTCAGTTCATCGTTTCCCGCTGTTCTTCCCTCTGTCATTACTACATATGTTTCCCTGTTTTCCACGATTCGTAAGATGCGAATAGAAGTTATTCAGCGACAGGAAAAATCGATACCGATTTAAAAAATCTGATCGAACATGAACATACTCGGATCGTAAATAGTGAAAAACGCATGAAAACGCATGAAAACGCATGAAAACGCATGAAAACGCTCGTACTGTCCCGGTTGCGCGTTACACAGGACCGATTAGGTGCGGATTGATTGTTGTCAATCGGTTCGGCATTAAACGATATTAATTGCTTTCATGTGACAGTTACCGTTGACATAAGCCAATAATTTCGGATTCAACAGCAATAATAACTGCATCGCGACAGCGAGACCATCGTAGAGACGCGATGGATCATAAGGTCGGAGTGTGCTCGTAACTTTCGCAATCAGCTTCAATCAACGACCGTACCGTTGAATTTTGAACTTGATTCCTACCCGGATATCGACGATCGAGTCCGTCGTGAAAACGTTCGAACGTAGACGACGTCTCTGCGCGTCTGTCCACGTCGTTCTATCGAGTCGAGTAACGTCGAGCAGCAGCAGCAGCAGCAGCAGCAGCAGCAGCAGCAGCAGCAGCAGCACGCTCCGCAGTGTTCAATAACCGACAACACATCGCTGGACGAATTCGATTTGTCAGTCGTCGGAACAAGACCTGAATCAAATCTGATAACGTACACTATTTACTTTGTAGCATGTGACCCAAATACTTGAACAGACGATCAGAGAACGCTCTTATCTGATCTCGTCTTCCTCGTTCTCGCCTCTGTTTACTCGTACTTAAGCTTGACTCGATACCGATCGCGAGTTCAGAAACAGAGCGTTACATACTCGAATTACTTAATACTTGAACTCGACGGTGCACGCGACGTAACTGAAATCGTTCGTCATCGGAGCACGCGGGATCGAGCACGGCCGGAGCACAACCGACGAGAACCGATACCTTTCGTATACCTAGTCACACGTACCTACGCAGACCGAAGAATATTCAATATTTACATGTAAGGAAAGATCAGTCGGTACGTCTCACGTTCGTCGATCGTATATGAACGTTCGTTCAGGTTCTGAACCGTGTTCTCCGTTACGTCGAGACGCATCCGAAAACTAAACGAGAATGAATTGAACTCACCTAAAGGGCTGTGCGATGTAAAAATAAATGCGGTCGACGCTGTTCGAGACGGTTCCTCGGTGAGCTGAACAATACCGGTACCAGTACAGCACCGATCGGAGACCAGACCGTTACTTCTTCTTGCACATTCTACCCGCGAACAAGCAGAGATCGATGGCGGCGGCGACGGCAAGGGTAAGAAAAATCGTGTGCACGCATTCACCTCCGCGCTTGATTCGCGTCCTCTTCACGGATGATCTACCTGCCGCGGTACCGGTACCTGCACGCGACGATCGGCTCGGAACTGAAGGGTGATTCCTCGGAAGAGGACGAACGCCTGGTTTCCAGGGGCCGACGACGAAACTGAACACACGGCAATACGCGATCGGCCATTTAAATGTCTCGCGGTTCTTCCACGGTTTGTGCCGTAACTTTTTCTCCCCTTCTCTCTGTCTTTGCCGTCTTTAAAGCAATAACGACGTTAGCGGAGAACAATCCAATCGGAGACAGAAAGACGTCCGCTTCCCTCTCGTTTCTCGAGATTTCCAGATAGACGCACACACGCCCCTTCTCTCATCTTCATCTTGCAGCCGAACCGAGCGATCTGAAAAAATATCATTCGCTAGGGCAACTCCATTTATACCGTATGGATATTGACTTTGATCGTACGACCACCGCGCTCCGAGAGCGAGCGAGAGAGAGAGTCAGCGAGACCGAGAAAGATATCGATGGGAGAACGGTAGACGCAGATACACGTGATAAAAGGTTTTTCGTGGAATGTGAGCACGATAGACGAGGTACATGTAAGCGGTATATACGCTTGATCCAAGTGGGAATTTTTAATCCGAAGACATTTCGAAACGCAACATTCTCAATGTTTACTATCGTCGATTGTTAATTCAGGGATTAGCAATGTTCAAAAGAACGATACTACGACGAGACGCGTTCTTCCATTTTTGCTTTCACCGTACTCACGATGTTGTTCATCATTTTACATCGTGCGGTACTTTCAGTGAACTCAGTAAAAATGATAAAATTAATGGTATATGCGATAATGCTCCTGAAACGATATGATAAAATAAGGCTGCCGTCAATTTTCCGTTAATAGGAACACTTGGCTCGAAACAATAAAACGTAAATCATCTAATTGGGCGTTTTACTTTTTTAAATTCGAGGACACAATTCTATATTTTATGTATTATCTTTTAAGCGAAGCTATCTGGTTTTCGTTTTCCGGGTCAGGAAGTGCGGAAGCGACAAGGTCGCGCGTCCTACGGATCCACACTTATACGAGGCGTTCTCATGACAGTTCATCGAGGAATACGAAATTCGTTAGCCCTTCATTGCTCAACGTGCTCCGTTCTTTCACCAGGAATCGGCCACAAAATAGTTTCGTCCAGTTTAAAAAACAGAAACTTGGATTCGAATTTACAAGTATCGTACTTCGGTCTATGTCAGATACTGCCCTTCTACATATACAAATAATACGTAATTAAATACATACCACCGATCAGTGGGAAAATTGCTGGTGCAGCAGCAAAGGCACATGTTTTCACTTAACGACAGGTGGTTTAATTGGTAAGCTTCCCGTGCGATAACGAGCCGCCTCGTGACACTTTCTTTTACAAGTAGAGTTTCGACGCTGATCCTCTTGGCTCAAATCGTATTCCAATTCCAACAGCGTAAAATTTATTTTTCTCGCTGTACGTGACATATTCTATTGATAATAGAACAGCGATAAGTCTGCGTATCTACGACAAAGATGACAGTAAGAATATCCTCTGTTGCCTGTTTAAAATCTATGACGGCTCGAATTGATCTGATGAAACTGAAAATGTTCGGCATCCGCTTAATTTAATCGATCGTTGTAAATTTTTCAAACTGATTACTGTTCAAAGCTACAGAGGTTCTTCTTAGATTCTCTGTATTCAAACCACAGAGCGCCACCGCCATACGATCCGATCCGATGGAAGATCCTCTGCAATCCTCTGTTTGACCGTGATCCGTCTCCTCCACCTCGTCGTCCTGAGGATCAGGCTGCGCTGCCTCTTCTTTCTTACATATATGTATACTCTCATCTGCTCTCATCTAAATGTAAAAATAATTTTTAGCACTAACTCCTACCGATGGCGTCATCATCCGGAGATAGTGCTACCTCTTACAACTTATTTATATTCTCCTAATACAAAGTATATATTTTCAGCCATTTACGCTAGATGGCGCTACGAGCGCCTCGCAACGTCACGTGACGTTAGTATAACCTCTGGTATAACTTATTAGAGAGGCAACGATAGTGCCCTCTACCGGGACTTGGAACTTGGATATGCGGATACGCGCGTACCTATAGCGCTAACCTAACCTATATTCAGTATCATTCTCTCTTGTCATGCTCTTTCGATGCAAACTTGAATTTATAAGAAAATTGGTCAAAAACGATCCATTGTTCCTTTTCACATATATGCAATTCTATTTAATTTTGATGGTACTGTAATAATTTGTTGTACGGAACAGAACCATGAAACGGTCAGTGTCGATACTTCTTGCCGAGTGATATCGAGTATATGACGCGATCAGACGCCATCAAATATTGAGTCAAAGCACTTGTCCACATAACCTGAGCAACCTGAAATACCCGAACGATATCATATATTTCCGTGTGAAATTATGTTGAAACCAAAAGCTTTGACACAAGTACTCAGTCAAGCTAATACTGGCGGTGTCGAAAATACATTGTAAGTAAAGATCTACGTGTTCCTTATTATTTTAAGGTTATACGAGAATGTCTGCTTGTTTGCGACGCGTTACGGTGATCGTATCGATGATATCACTAACTCGTAATCAAAAACGAAATATTGTTGTAGGTACATTTCTATGATCAAATGTCGCTTGAGAACTTGTTTTCAGATTATTGAATCGAGATGGTGGGTTATTAGCGTACAGTGGTTACGGAGACAAAGATGCAAGAGTGACTGCCGCTATTACGAGTAATATTTGGTCGGCTTATGAAAAGAATGGACGGAACGCGTTCAAGGAAGATGAATTACAATTTGTGTTAATGGATTGCGTGGTACGACACGTTTCGTTGTTTCGTCAAGCTCTGTAATTACGCGTATACAGAAATTTCTTATTAAATCATTCCAGGCGAGAGAATGATAACGAATTAATTATTCTAGGAGGGCAAAGTCGTGATCACCGAAGTTGCAAACCTGTTGTTATGTCTATACGCCAAAGAAAATGTTGGGTTCGGCTTGTTGAGAGAGAAAGCTCAAGCCTTGGCGAGATATCTCGATCAACCGTTAAAAACGATAGCTAACATGCCTTAGAATTCGTGTTTAGATATATAAAATAATTAAAGTGATCAGATGGAACTTGTTTTTGATACGTGCGATATTGCAAATATTTATTAAACAATTATTTCTATAATACCGTGTATAGTAATATCGATTCAATTGGGATTTTACAAACTTTCACCAATGTAATTCGGACAATATATACTACGGAAATCATTGCATCGGAGTTTATTTATCATTTCGTACGTCTTCGTTCGGAAGCGAAACGCAAGGAAATAAATAGAGACCAGGTATAATCGTAATCGTTAATGTGTAATGACTCAGAATTTTTTATCACCTTTCAAACACATGCTACTCATTCATTTTCTTACAGCGTGTCAAATAATTCGATCTCGTGAACCTCGTTACATACGTTATAAAAGGTACTGAAACGAGCCTCATCGCTTTCATTGGAACTGATCGTCATACGATTTGAAATTCATTACGCTATTTTAAGATATATTCTATATAGGTGAATATGCGTAGCTATGCGACGCGATTCTATAGTCTCGTTATCGTTACTTATTTTCTCGTACTACTACTACTACTACTACTACTACGACGTCCGAACGTACGTCAGTTATGATTACAAATCTTTTCATGGAGATATAGAGCGTGAAGTTTTTCGACACGAGTAGTCTTCGGACGTACAGAACTGAACAGAATAATATTGCATGGAACTAAATTCATTCGTGGCGCGTATGATTAATATTTAAAGTAATTATCAAACGTGTACATGGTTTACAAATGGAATTGCTTTTATTTCAGATTCTGCATTTGCCTGCGAATAAATTCTTATTTGCGTCACTTTACGTATATTTATCCTACATCCTCTTAAATATTATTACTGGTATTAAAATGTACTCTCGAATGGATATAAATATTACTTTCTCTTTCCTAACAATAAACATCGAACAACGAATAGATTTAGAAATATGTCTATGAAAGTATAAACTCTTTCACGTAGCGAGTTTTATATATATTATACATATTATTACATGAATCCCTATGCTCACGTCACGATAATAGTATGTACGCATACTAATATCGGGTAAATGAACGACGTGAAATTAAGTTACAAAGCAATAACGCTTTTAGTACACCGTGACCGATGGTATGTGTATGTACACGTCGCAGGAAACGATCGATGTTGGTCCTAACGTTCCTGCCGAGTCCCTTCGGTGCGAACGGTGATAAGTATCGCAGGATGAAACGAGAAACTCCCGTTAAACGACGTAGTCCGTCCGTTTTCCGGTCGTCCCACGTCGTTGAAACCGTGTCGTTATTATCGTTCGCAGAGTACGCGCGTCTAACAAACGTCCTCGCTGAATCGTTCTACAATTCTCGTAAGACCCTCACGTGGACGTACGTACACGCGTGGATACGATATACAATTCGTTATAATATATATATATATATATATATATCTTATAATGGGCATAACGTGGCTCTAAGGTACGATGATTCATACGATGGTACATACGATTCTTCTCTTCTCATCGTGAATCAATGCTTGAAATATGAGTATATTGTCTACGACGCTTCCTTGATAGGCCTTCCGACAATTGACGACCCACGATGATACCTGTGTCACAGAGCGCATGAAACATCTGCGATCATCGAGTTACCATTGTCGAGTCGTCATCTGTCAATAAGTAGATGTATCGTAAATGAAAGTAACCGAGAGAGGACAGTGAAAATAATCATCTAACGTGTGCCTTTTGACTTACAATTAAATCGTTCGTTCACCCTTCGCGCCGAACTACAGTATCGTATAGAAATCACGTGTTCAAATAGAGACTAACGAGATCTCATTCGGTTCGAACGGTTCTTTCGAACTGTGTTCGGTGTCGCGAACATTTCTACGTTCCATTCATACACGTATCCATGCGAACGATGCGAGATAAATTGCTTTTGCTAAAAATTACGCTCATCACTTTGTTCTTTCTCTCTCCCTCCCTATTTTGTCCACGTCGCTGTTCACAGTCGTAACATCGTCGTATCGGTTAATAAAAAGTATCGTGTTAGACGTACAAACGTTATCTTTATATTTTACAGCGGCAGTGCGAAGGTCTTTAAATGAATTTCGGTAAATGACGATAACAGACGATCAGAAAGGAAAATGATGTTTCTACAACTCGTTACAAAAAGATAAACTATTCAATACTAGAGAGAGAGTATTTGTATCCGTTGTAGAAATTTGTATGAAAGAGATTGCCTTTACGAATGCTATTGTCGTTTAAACTGTGACAGTGAAACTGAATAATAAATGATATAATAAATTGTTTTCGTCGTAGCATTCGCCGATGTCCACGATCGTACACACATATACGCGTACGTACATATTAACAGCTTTGCGCCCGGTAAATTTTTCTTTTCCTCAACGTCGTTCGACGGTCGCGGATTACCAGCGAGTACGGCTTTACCTCAACGGTAATTACTAACTCCGATATAAAACGTATGATCCCACGTGGAACGGTCGTTCCCGTCGTTCCACTTTATGTTCACTTTCTGCTCAATCGTTCGTTCGTCGACGACGAAGATGATCTCGTCAACGTGCAACAGTCTCGGTCGTTTCAAGCTATCGTTTCAAGCTATCGTTCCGTATCGTTGTACGATACGATTAACTGTTTAGTTGAAGAGATAGAAGGAGGATATTATATCTTTCCATTATTTCTCCTCAGTCATCCTTATTGCCACGTCGAAGAAATGGAACAACGAGCAACGAACAGGGAAAACTGAAACCCTTACATGTACGTAGAAATAAAAACAGTCTTCGTCTTGTGTTGCTGCACGGTCGATTTAATTAAGCGAAGCGAGAAAAGAAAAGGACGGATTTTATAGATTACATGCGAGAACCCTTCTGCTGTAGAACCTAAAATACAATTTATTGATTGGAACACAGTGTCGTATCGTATTAAAAATAGAAGAATACAAAGATTAGATTTCACGAGAAGTAGCATTGTTCAGCCTCTGTATATTGTTGTATACGAACAAAACATAATGACGAAACGTGAGATTTCACCGTCGAGGAGGATATTTGCCTAACGTCCTCGACGAGTGTGTTATTCAACGTGCACGTGACAACGAGCAAAAACCGTGCAGGACAACAGGGTAAAAGTAACTAAACCAATAAAAGAAACAAATCGTTTATTTAACGTATTATGGCATGCGATACAAAAATCGTGATGTAACGAATACAGCAAATATTAGAGGCGGAACATGCTCGTGTAAATGATCTGACCAACTGTTTCTCAATTATCTTTTCATATCAATCAGAGAAATTAAACGTAACGTGATAATACTGAATTCCTTCATGTTCCACTGACTAATCGTCTACCGTTCTTTGGGTAACTGGACGATATTCCATTATTGAAATTAATCACGACGAGATTAATAAACTAAAATTATGCACGTAAGTACGAACGTGTGTCTGTGTGTGTGTGTGCGCGCGCGCGTGTGTGTGTGATACGAGAAGACGAGATGAGGTGAACTCGTTGGAAATCTCCATACCCGATCCCGATGGTATTGAATTTAACGTTAAGGGGGACGACGACAACGACGACGACGTCCCTCTTCTCATGGAATCATTCGATGGAAAGTGTATGTGACATAAAAAGTTTGAGAATGCTAGAGCGGTACCTTGACACGATCCGTTGATTCTTGTTCTTTGCTATTGAGTTGAGTGGCCCCGTATTCTCTACTGACCACGCATAGAAATTCAGCATGATCGTCGTTTCCGTAATTATATTGAGATCCTATATTGATTAACTGCAACGCGTGAAAGTCACATTTTATTTCGTACGATTCATAGGCATTGTATCGTGGGAATGGCAGCAATGGAAATGGAACGAGATCAACGTCGTTGTTCGCGTCGAACCATTGACCGTCATCCATACGACAAAATTATTTGAGACGCTTAAAACCGTACCGTATAATTTTAATTAGACACGCTTGTAATACCTGTTCAAACTTCCATCCGTCGGACATGGTCGACACCATCTGAGTCAACTCGTCCTCGTGACACTGAATAACTCTATAAACGTGTTTCTTCGAATCCCTCAGAGGTCTGGTATCTCTCGATATGATTCTCTCTTTGACTAGTCGAATAAGTTCTGTGATATTATAAAATTCCGCTTCTTCCAAAACACCTTCTTCCGTTAAATCTTTGTTAATCACCAGTTTCCCATGACGTAAGTAATTTAAAACAGGACTGAAATACGTTGGGTCACGGTCTATCAAGTATGCCCCTGTCTGATCCTGCGAAACGTGCCAACAACTTGATCGCAAATCGTGTACGTATACGCGCATCGGTAGGCATTGGAAAATTACGAAACGTTATTTTACGCATCGAACGATGTAGTCAGAATATAGGAACATATATACGTATCCGCGCATCGAGGAGGATATTTTTCTATCGTTCGTTAACGTTTCGAAAGTTCGCGGTTACCTCTATGATAAACATCAACTAACCCTGTCCGAGATCAGGTCAGAGTCTTCTTGACACAGTCGGTAGAGGAACGAGTTGGGATCTCTGGACAAAGTAGTTTTCGTCGTCAAAAAGTATGTTCCACCAATGTTCAACCGAACCCACTGATTATTACACCGCTTTTGAACATGATTCTCTGTCATTTCGTGTGAATTCGTGTCACTGAAATCCGCCGCCATTGCCATTCCTGCTGTTCCTGCTTCGAGACGCGAGTCACGCGAGCATGAAACAACAAGCATGAAACGAAACGAGCAGCAGCAGCGACTCCACTGCTCGCAGACTCGCAGCAGGTCACACCATCTACCGTTCACGGCTGCGAACAACTTGACCAAAATCATTTCAAGTATGTGTACACGTGGCATGTATACGCATGTACACATACACGTGCGTACGTGTGTGCACGTAGAAAATTGTCACGTCGTACGGTGGCGGGAAAGCGCCAAACGAAACTGTTATTCAAGAAAAAAATAAACTGAAACGATTGTTGGTCGTGTATGATGTACATCCTTTCGAGTTGCAATTCATGTGTTGATTGGTGTATCAGCTGACGAAAATTAGGCTCCAACGATACCAAATAAATCGACGATACAGAAGCGTAAGATGTGATAAGATATGTGAGAAACAAAGGAAAACGATGTTTAAACGATCGACGAGAAATAATATCTGCGCATCCGGCAGAATGCTCAAGTTCCATCCATCCATGTGACATATATATATAGAAATTAGAAGCGTGTATGTGTAGAAAGAAGTGGAAGAAAACAAGTGAAAATATTGGTTTTCCATTTTGGTAGCGGAAGACCGTCTTGTTCCGTATCGACGAAAAGTATAATTTAAATCGTCGATTCACGCGAGGGGATAAGTATTTTTTTCGACGGCTACGCCGAACTGGTTCCTCGGTAAAAAGTAGCACCGCGAGTGTGTCTGGGTTCGAGGCTTCATATAAATACATCTACGTCCAGAAAATTACCGGCAGTCATTGCGAGAAAGTCCTGTGATGAAGGGATCGTCGCCCAGACGGGGCAAATTGTAAGACCGTTCACTTGAGCCGAGAATGCCGGTGAAAGTTGACGTAGTACCACCACCGCCCGCAAACTCGAAGCAGCCGGGTGTCACAAAATCATTGCTTTACAACGGTTCACGATTTCAAGGTTCCCAAAAGTCTAAGGGAAACAGTTACGACGTAGAAGTAGTTCTACAGGTTAGTTACCCCCCGTCGTTTCTGGAAATTGCGGCCACACCGAGAGTCTGTCTCTTTCGTCGCATCTTTGACATCTGTCCAGTGTTCACCGCGTAACGAACCATGGCTACGACTACGTGTGTTTCACCTCTTAGAGCATTTAGCTGTGAAACTCTGCACGTTTTTCTCCCACGTCGTTCTCTCGTCGTCGACATCGATGGGTTCGATGCACGTATATTGTTTACACGTCCGAACGATTCCGATAATGCCTGTGCGTGCCAACGGGATTTTCAAACATCTACGCTCTCGAAGCGCACTGTACGAGCGTACTCGCTCGCTCCAGATTTTTCCGTCATTCCGATTTTTTAACATTCGTGCAACATGGTTATTTTCACGTTGACGGGCGTGCACGGACGGGATGATGATGATGAAACGTATCGTATGAATTTGTAAATAGAGAAGTTCTCGGTGTAGACGTCGAGATCCCCTGGATCTACGACGCGCGATTTCGGAAACAACGAACAAAATTAAAACGGATATTAACGAATTTCTTTTTATCGCAGCACGTGGACGAAGAGAACAGTTATTTATGTGGCTACCTAAAAATCAAGGGTCTCACAGAAGAATTTCCTACTCTGACCACGTTCTTTGACGGTGAAATTATATCTAAAAAATATCCATTCTTAACTCGTAAATGGGACGCGGACGAAGATGTCGATAGGAAACATTGGGTTTGTATCCGTTCCGGCAGACCGTGTTGTCCACCTCGTTTAACATTTATTATTACTGTCATATCTGTTTGTTATTGTAGAGCAAATTCGAGTCGTTTCGTCAGTACGCCAAGACATTTAATTCAGATACGTTCGATTACGAGGCTTTAAAGGGAACCGATTTTGTTTTTATGAGGTGGAAGGAACATTTTTTAGTGCCCGACCATACCATTAAAGATATCAACGGTGCCTCGTTCGCAGGATTTTACTATATTTGCTTTCAAAAATCTGCTGCCACGATCGAAGGCTTTTATTATCATCGTAGTTCCGAGTGGTAATATCATTTTATTTATACCTAATCTAGTAGACGAAATTATATTTGGTTGTTGACTTTGTAATGCATTAATACAAGGATGCGATCCGTTCTTTTATGTCCGCACATTGTACGCGCTACGCGTTTCAAATCGTTTTTAATTATCATCGATGTTCTTCCGATCTGTTTTAGGTATCAGTCCTTAAATTTAAAACACGTCCCGGAGCATAGCATACAAATCTACGAATTCAGGTGAAATCAATGGCTTACTCGATTATCTCCAAATTCACATTTTACCTCTGTTAGCATACAGATCTCATAAAATTCCTAATCTCTGAACTATAATTCGACTCAGTTCGTTGACCAACGAGAATTTTTAAATTGTTTATTAGTAGAGTGTAAGGTCGCCGGTGGTGAGGGACTCGACCGCTTCGACCGAGTATTTCTTAGTCTCTTTTGCCTTCGTTTTTCTTCTCTCTTCTTTTTTCTATTATTATTATTATTAAAATAGTAATTTACGACGCGCGACGTACACACTATATATTTACTTTATATAAATGTTAGACGTGTCATGAAAGAAACGTTGTAACGAACGGCGGCGATGAGAATTCCAGTCATTCGGACATCTCGACTATGAATTAGTTATTATCGATGTTCATTGTAAGATGTTTTATCGAAATAAATTGATCCATGTTTTTTGTCAATTACTTAAAACGTTGTTGATTATTTGCTATTTCTATTCGCCGTTACGAGACGTTGTAATATCTGATTTGAAGTTCGCCGCTCTCTGATACGAGTAGGGTAGGTACTCCTTTTTCAACTTACCGAACGATACGTTTACCGTTTATCAGAGGAAACAATTCGACGAATTATGCGAACGAAAAGATTCCTGAGGCGACGCTTCGGCAGGAGTAACGGTTTAATTATACTTGAATCGATAAGGTCGCTACTCGTCCGAATGACCAAACGACCGCATGGACACTTTACTTTCCATTCGTATTCGGATATTTATGAGATCTGTTTGCTCGAAATGAAAGAACGGTGGTGACGATCGAATGAATTGACGCGGCGTGAATGAAAACGGAAAGGGAATCAAACCGGAACATGAAAGTGATTTTAAAATATCATCTCGACACGTCGACGTCTCTCTCTCTCTCTCTCTCTCTCTCTCTCTCTCTCTCTCTCTCTCTCTCTCTCTATACTTCCCGATCCCTCTTTCGTCGTTGGGCATCATGATACAGACAGATGATCAAACGAGAATAATAAATGCAGATTATGACGTAACACCAGGTGTGGAGCGTTGAAAAAGAGATTTTCTTTATTTACCTGTAGAAGCTATAGTTGCTCGACTGATGAACCAGCGACTCTGTTCTGAACGATGACATGAGCGTTAATCGAAATCCTAGTGACAGGTGGATCGGAATCGAGCAAAGAAAGCGTGCTTGGTGTACAAGCGTGCATCCTGAAGCGGCACAATTGTGACGAGCCAAGCGAACAAGAAACGGTCGACGGGTAGAGATTACGTAGATCACACTTGACAGAACAAATTTGATACGAGTTGGCTGTTTATAGAAACCGTAATCTAACGTGATTTTAATAGTGATCGGGAATCTGTTATAAACATAGACGGTCGTAACGCGATTGATCGCAACAGCGATCGGGCTAATTTAACCGAGTTTATCCGTATTTATCGAAGACTAATGATTCTCATCGAATTTCGAATCTCCTTTTAGATGATGTAAAATTTATTCTTTCAACGATAATTGTATAGAAATTTTAACGTTACCACCACCAGAATAGTTGAGACTCGTCTACTACTTAGAAATTTAGAGCCTAGATTTATTAATTAATTAAGGCGCATATAGGACAGAGACGTATCTAGTTGAATCTAAAGCGTGTAATAACATGTATTAAACGAATGATTTATATTAAAATATCTTTATTGTATAATCATATTAATGTATCATCGTTCTTTTCTTTTCTCATCTTCTTGAAATTCAATTGAATTGAATGTAATTGAATGTAATGTTGTTTGAATTCTATGTAACAAGGATCAAGTATGTATATAATTTTATACGCGTTACTCGATCACATTGTTGCTCAACGTTTCCGCTGATACAGATCGAGAAGCGAAACATGTTCTTCCGAACGATCAATTTCGAATCCGGACCGTGTGTCACGGTGAAGACTCATAAGGCAGGATTTCAAATATGATGCAGAAAAAAATATGTGGACACAGGCATTAAAAACGGAATCGACGCTTGTTTCGCGAGTACGTAGCAGCAACAGATTCCGTAGATCCTTATCGTGTCGTATTGATTACTTGCTAAATACTATTATATTTTAAGTACAGGGTGTACGAACGACACGTTCGTTATAAAATCGAAGCCGCTACGAATGAATTGCGAAACGTATGAGACACTTGGATCACCACGTTTAATTTTCCACTATTTTAATCGAGACTAAAACTTCTCTTCCAACGGGACGGGAAACGCACGGTAATTGATTCTAGACAATTTTACCATTAGAACGAGTCGTCGTATCATATATTATTATACAATGTAAATGGTAATAAAGGAATTCGTTCGTGTCAAATTGTGATGGACGATCGCTCGCTCGTTCGTTGGTAAAACGAACCTCTGTCCATACTGTCTGCGTACTGTTTAATCGATGTCGACCAGCGGTCGATCGCCAGAATCTCCAATAATTATTGACGATTCTTCTCTCTTTCTCTTTCTCGACGACCTATTTCTTGCCGGCCCGGTCAACCGTTTAGTTTTTGTAATTGTTCGATTACGTCTGCGATCAACGGTTACGCTCCTTAATTTTCTGCCACGAGTACTTGGCTAAGGTATTAGTTATTAATCATTCGGTTAATCGCTCACTCGCCTAATCGCCTATACTACACACAGCGTGTTACCATGTTACTGGAAGAATACTGGCACAGGCACAACGGTTCCGAGGACATGGACACGGTTGCTTTATGCAACACAGCTTCGAATCCCAAAAATTTCGTATCAAAGTCGAGCTTGGCTTTTATCACATCGGTAAACGAGTTTTGGACCGTCACGAAATTATCGAGATAATCCCGGATCGTTTCTCCCGTGCTGGAACCTCGATCGTCCGTGGAGGGAAACCTGTTCTCTCCTGTGGTCTCCTCGGTCCTGGTATCCTTCGAATCTTTCGAATCGTCGATTTGCTCCGTCGCACCGCGACATCGATCATCCTGCACGTTACGCTCCTCAACGTTCGAATCGGACAGGTCACCTCGCAAGAGATCTAACAAAGGGTCACGATGGTAGAGAAAAACGTGTGTCGGCATAGTTCCGGGCAGCAATTAAAAATGCTCTCTGAGGTGCGATTTACTTGCCAATGAAGTCGTTCAAGTATTCTGAAAAGATTTTGTTACAAGAGAGTAAATGCTTGAAAGCTTCGTCAAGGTTTTTCTGCCTAAAATACGTTCTCGCTAACAGAGCTGATCGTTCGGTCAGATGAGCCGCACCGATCATCGCTTTCGAATTGAACATTCTCCACTGTTTACGAGAGATCTCTGCTTGCCATTCCAAAGCGCAGTCCTCCAGTCTTCTATTGATCGATTTTAACAATTCGTTCGCTTCTAGTAACTGTTGCGGAACGCAGACGTTCCTTTCGTCGGAAGAGGGACGACCGTCGTCCTCGGCCACAGTTGTCATCGCGACCTCTTCTTCGAATTGCACCAACGAAAAATCCAACTTTTTAACAGACCAACATTTTCATTATGATTCATTCGCGCTATTTAGTATACACAGCCGCACCGAGGAACAGCAAATAAAAAATTACAAAACTGTACGCATGAAATAAATTTAGACCGCATCAGTCTTTTATCAAACAATTGAATGAAATCTGTATGATTGCAGCGAGAAGGGAGGGATCGACAGAGAGGACACCATGATTCTGTCACGTTAAACGAACGTTGTTCTGCGTTGTTCGCACGATGATTTTTCTGGAAATTTTGCATCAACGAAATTTACGCGGTATACCCTTGATGAAAGTACAAATCAATGTCTATGTACAAATATTAAACTTTTTATTTTGCAATAAGTATATGAATTAAGACATCGCGTAGTATGTATTTATATGCTGTACGCTGTTCAAATCTTACATTCAGATATCGAGACAGAGTTCGTTAGTATGTTTACGTTCACTGCTATACATTGCAATTTTATAAAATATATCCTTTTCGTATTTATCATAATAGTATGCATGTAGTACGCACGTTCGGGAATCAGATGACAAGATACGATACATCAATCCGATTCGAAAATAGATCAAATTTAGGATTGCTTTCCATTTTCGTAAATCGCTATAGATAAAAATTCAATCGACTATATCCCGTTGTTACATACCCCGGCCCGCACGCTCATTAACATTAATACTTAATAATCATAATAATAATAATAATAATAATAATGACGACCGCTTTCATATAGATCGTTCAATTTAATTGAAATTTTACTATTTTACACAGTACAAATACAGCTCGTGCTCGTTTTCTCGATGTCGTGTAAACTTTTAAAAAATTACCATACAAATTGTTATTACAGTTTTCGATAAATTTCATGCGCCGTGACCAGCGGTAAGATATATATATATATATATATATACGGTACGTCCTCTCCCACATGACTCATTGACGAATATTCGTTTTAAAATAAAGAACGCAACCAAGATAATGAGAGAAATACAAATGTTACGTTATGTCGTATGATCGCCGATATTACGGTGTGAGACATCGTATCTCGTACATCAATCTTTTCTAATGAAATTTATCAAAATACATCGGAGTATGAACAAGTCGTTTCGTATTTACACAATGCGCAACGTAATATCCGTATTATAGATAAATTATACTGTACACGCGGCTGAACGAGCATACTCTCGTACAATTATATATTAGTTATATATAATAAAGTGAGAAGAAATTAAATAATTAGAGCGAGACGCTCCCGTTATCGCGAGATATACGAGGGCGTGATTCAATTTGTTGTTTCACCTTAATAAATAAAGTAGTTTTTCAACGACGACAGACGAAGAGGAATTAAATATAGTTGACACACTTGTTTTTTAATTGGTTCGAACGGAGCGTAAAATGTAACATAAAGAGGTGACACGACACCACACGACGCTTGGAACGACGATCCTCGCGTAGGTACACAATTAACGAACGTTAAAATAAAGATTGTTCAGACTGAACCTCGGACAATCATCATTACATCATCCCTCGCGTTCTATCATCCGATCAACAGCTGCTCTATACTAATCAGCCTATACTATTATTCCTAGTCTACACCACAACCTTCGTAGACTCGGTGAACTTGTACTTTTTTATTCATTTCCTGCTCCGATACTTATACCGATTCGTTTAAAAATAAAGAGATGTTGTGCATGAAACATCATATGAAAATGTAATCGTGTATTTCGACTCGGCCGCTGACCGACTCCATCGATCAATGTACAACTGCTTTTCCAATAAACTGAATTACCTCCCTCCCGCCCGGCCGCTCTCTGATCACGCAAGGCAATTCCCGAACCTTTGGCGATGTTACAAGTGTAATTCGAACATCGCTTCGGTCGATACGCACACGAAATCAGTTTTTCTTAAGCTCGTCATCATCGTTTTTATTCGCGTAGAAACCTCGGAAAATATTCGTATACCGTAAAAAACCAATTGAACGTGCAGGTATGTGTACTCCGTTTGCTCATATATAATAATATTTTCACTAGTCCGAGTTGATTTTTCATGTTGATTCCGAACGGTTCCTTTATCCGATTCCTCTATCGTTTCTAATGGCACGTGTCGAACAGGGAAGGAAGAATTACAGAGATGTATTTACAGAGATGTAAACGTATAAAATTACTCTCAAGATATCGTGCAAGAATTGCGACCGACGCAACTGGTACGAGTGTCTGTTATACTGCCGGGCGAACTAGCCAGAGTTGCTAAACCATTATGACCGACACCGACGAAACGTAATTTTCGATGATGAGAGCTCAGACTCTTGCTAGAGCTCAACGATCTGTTCCCATTGTACCTTAATTGAGAAGTAGTCGTCATCGCGTAAGATTTCAGGTGAGATTTAATCGACTTGGGCAATGGAAGTTGATCGATACCATAAACCGTTGTTCTCGCGACTATCGCGCGACACGCGAGTTCTTGGAGGCTGAGAACTGAAAGCGAACACACAGTTGAGACACGCGTTAATGTACGATCGCTTTTACCGAAACCTGTATGCCGATGTAAAAATATAAATTCGTTACCTTTGTTGGATCGCCACAATCTTTCCATACCGTTACGGTGTAAAGCCATCCGCGAAAGTTCGGAAAAGCTCTCGCGGATGTTGAAATCACAGAGCGGCGAAACCTCGAAGAATGCCATATGATTCTTAGCTGCGTACGTTTCGGCATCGCGTTCCCCGACTTGTCTCTTAAACGCTAAATGGAGCCGATTGCCGACGAGTACTTTCGGTACACCGGGGGCGTGCTACGGCACATAAACATGGTAAAAGTGATCAATCGACGCGAGTACAACGATACAGAAGAAAATAATCCAACTGTTCTTGCATACCTCTTCGACTTCCTTCAGCCATCTGTCTATGCCGTCGAACGACCATTTATTGGTAATATCGTAGACCAAAAATATACCTTGAGCCCCACGAGAATACGATCTGATTATTGTACAAAATCTACCTTGGCCCGATGTGTCCCATAATTGTAACTTCACTCTTTTTCCATCCAATAAAATAGTGGTGGTCTTGTACGCTAGAAAAAGCGAATATCGTTATTGTTATAAGTCGAATGTACACGCGTATACTTTCGATCTTCGAAAGGCTACAATCGTGAGAAGAAATCAAGACAATTTTTTCTCCGTGACGACGACGACGACGACGACGACGACGACGGTCATCAATGAGATCAACGGGGGAGGAGGTCTTTCTAAAAACCGTGTATGTTCATTACGACCGTAGACGCGGCGGCGTTTCGTATTTCGACCGTCTACCGATCACTGAACGCGATATGGTACGGTTAAGTGAACACGACGCGAACACGTTGCGAGAAGTCTGGCAGAACGTCGTAGAAAATAACGATAAGCGTAAAATAATACCACTGCCGCTGCAGAACGGAGATTCCGCGGCACCATCTTCCAAACCACTCAAGATTTCTTGTTTCCCAACATCGCTGTCACCCACCAGCAGAAATTTCAGAAGATAATCGTATTGTTTTTCCTGACGAGACTTTGTCGTGCCGCTGTGCTGCTCACCTGTAGCCATAATACCCCTCTATTGTGAACCCTGGGCATACTACAGGCAAACCACTGACGACACCACCGTCTGACACCTTCGACTTCCACGCGTTTTTTAGTATCCGTCGACGGAGAAACCTTTCTGACGAGTCGTTCACGCGAGTCAAACCATACTGCACCCAACCGCATCAAGTCCTGTTCGCGCGTCGACGACTGACAATTTTTTCTGCCCTCAACAGAAATCATAACAAAACGAGAATAAAATCCATTTCGCACTGTATACGTATCATCGTGTGTGCACTATCGGTAAGTTCAATTGTTTAAATGTTCACAACAAACACCGAGTTAATGTCTGCTGGCTGGCTGCCTGCGCTGCCTGCCTGCCTCAGCCTGCTTCAGCCTGCCTGTCAAATTTTTCGAAGGTCAAGTACGTACATATGTATGCATGTACCATATGTATATATATATATATATACATATGCTCGTACGTATGTAGACAAGCTTATCCGTTCCTCGAGCAACGCCGTATGCATATCTACAGCGTGAACGTTAGATGGCGCCACGTGCAACCCCGAAAACCGTAAGACGGTACTCTATGAGAAAAGTTTCATTCGACAGGTTTTACATAAAACGGATGAGAGTAAGGAAAAACATACTGTATAATTTACACTTTTTTCTAATATTATTCGTGAATTATATCAACATTCGTCACAACAGTAATAAGAGAGATACATATATTGAGTTGGACGGTCCAAGTTCTTTTTTTAACTCTCTCGCATCTCGTCCAGATGGCGAACGAGCACCTGGGGAACGAATGGCGAACAATTGTGATTTATGTGAAATTTCAATCGAACTTCCTTTTTGTGTACAATTGATGAATTGTTTGACTGATCGCTGGTCCGATAAGACGTTTTTTATCACCGAAGTCGATAGTCGCCAACAATAATCCGGCGTCGGAAGATTTTCGTCGAAACGCTTCGATCAATGCTCGCGGACTCGGATAACGATCCACGATCGCTGCGGCTTTCTCTATACTCATACCCTTCAGTTGCAGCAAATGGCGAACAAACATTTCGTTCACTTTAAACACCTACGAATATCAATTTCCACGTGTATTACATGACGTAAGGATGTCGATGGACGAATTATTACACGTGTACGCATCGCAGAACCGTATGTATACCTTTTGCTTGGATGCCGCTTTATTGAATTCTTCGAATTCCATCATGCTAAAATTATCATTTAAAATATCAATTTGTGCAATATCTTCTTTCTTACAGACAGACAAATTCTTCTCCTAAAAACACGTACAACGGTTAGAATCAAGTACAACGGTTTACTTACGGTAAAAATTTAAAAGATGTATCGAAACTACTACTTTAAAAATTGTAATTAAAATACGAGACAGCGACGACAGGTAGAACATAGAATCTTTATGGGACCTAGTATATTTCACTGAAAAACCATCCTGTATCAGAGTATTGATGGAAGCCTGCATCAACGACGAATGCGGTATCGCTAATCTACGACCTTTCTCGTATTCCTCGATCACGTACATCAGATTTTGAATCCCAGACTGTTTCAATCTGAACTGAACAGGAAACGATACGATGACAACTTTACGTTTCAATCGTGAACGATAAAGTTCGTATGTATAAGAGAATGATTCAATTGCAATGCAATTACTTTCTGCTCGTGGAACCTCCCATCCGTGATGCTTGCACTTAAATCGTCTATTCGTTTTCTCTCCACGACGTAAGGTAAAACCAATTCTCTGTTCGTGTTTCTGCATCTAGCGATCCATGCGAAGTCGCCAACTTTCAAATGTCGTACCTCAAACGATACACCAAGCTCCGTTAACTCCACTATGGTAGCGTCGTTCTCAGGTTTCGTCTTACCACTGTATACATATAAGAATGTTCATAGAAATCTAATCGACTGACTTTTGATATCGAGACACAAGTCGTTTGGCATACCCACAAATTTCCTGAGTATCCACCAGTAATATTATGTCAAATTTGTTCGTCTTAAAGTAAGCGTTCCGTTTAAAAGTATCGAGAGAATCCATTTCATCATTATCCTCTATATGTGGATCTAAATTCTTTGCCGATTTTGTTCTCTCCCGTAGTTTTCCCGCTACATTTTGCTTGGAATTCTGTCCTTTGCGATCCCGATCTCTGACGACTGGCTGCTGCTCGAAACATTTGTCGGTAATGAGCTCAGCAGAATTGGACTTGTACAATCTGAAAGGTTCCTCCGAATTGTCAGCCTCTTCATCTGTAGTATCTAGTAGAACGTTTCGTTCAGATTCAAATTTTCCTCCGAGCTGTTCACCGGCGTTACAATCAATATCGTTGGTACTCGTACTCGTCGAACCTTTGGTTCGGGCTTTATACTCTTCGAGTTTCCTATCCAGCATCAAACATAATTTTGTACCAAAGTGCTGTAATATTATACAATCCCTCCCAGACTTCAGAGGCAAAGGATACTTCCTCAACGATGTGAGAGCTTTCGAAAATTGCTTTTGCAAGTCCGAATTTTTCGACGCAGCTTCTTCCCTCCATTCCTCTAACCAAAGTTCAAACAACGGATTCGGTTTTTTCACCTTAAGTTTGATTCTTTTCATGGCCCTTCCGAACCATGACTGAACCCTATGGATTAATATTGTTCAGAGAAATACTGATCACACGATAAACACGGAACACTTTTCCTGGTTGTTTCAAATTCTTTGCAGAGACTCATTGCTGGATGAACAGAAAGAGAATTCCAATTTTAAGGTAAGTTCTCAGTTCTAACAAACGATTATTGGTGTGGTGACCATGTTTCCTACTCCTGTACTCTGTACTGCTGGTACTGCTAAACCTCGGTTGTTTGGTCGTTCCAGTTCGGTCCATTCCGTCCGTCTGTCCGGTTCGGTAGGTTTCAGGTTTCAGTAGTGGGCTTGGGTTTGGTGTGGTCCAGTGCACCTGATCTTGTGTGTGTGTGTGTGTGTGGGGGGGTTGTGCCAGAAAATCAGGCAAACATGTCGAATTTATCGTAGTACTTTCGTTTCATACATCCGTCGATAGATTCTTGATTGAAATGATCAAAAAGCCGATTGCGTATAATCGTGTCGTAGACATATGATACGAACAATCGTCTACGAGGTATGATCTCATTTCCTGTTAAATCATACATTTCCTAAATCGAAATTTTCTACCCGCACGCATCGTCGGTCGGGACAATTACGACGCAGCGTTGATCATTGCGTTCATTTGTTCGTCGCATTGTCGTGTGGTTACCGGTCGACTGAAGTTTAATTGTTCCGATGGAAGGCGCGGTGTCCGGAGACAGTTACACATTGATGTTGACTGACAATGAGAATGTAGTTACGCGCGATCCAAGATATTTCATATCGTCATAATATTTTCCACACAACTGAACAATTCATCGATCGATTTCCAATTAAAATTCTTCTGTTTCCAGTTGTACACTTGTATAATTATATAATTATAATTGTATGCAACACGGTATAATTGTAGCTGGTCATAGTATACATACACGTATGTATATAGAGTATATAGAATTTAGAAATGGCAACTGGACGTAGTAATTTCATAAGTAAACCAGCGAGAGGGTGGTTACACCCTGACCATTTAGTGAGTAAGGAGGGAATCACTTACAAAGTTAAGGTAAAATCTTGATCTTACTGATCTAACATCGATATCGTGCATTAAATAACGTTCAAATACCAATGTATCTATTCAGTACATAGGATGTCTAGAAGTACACACGTCTATGAAAAGCTTAGATTTTGAAACAAGATCATGGGTCGCCAAGTAAGTCGCTACGTATTATATTCGCTTAATCTATACATGCACCAGTATATTCGTTTCGAATGAACTTTCCTGTCAAATTTCTGCGTAGAGAATGTATAAACAGAGTCTGTGAAGCAGCCGGGCTAAAGTCTGCAGATAAAAAGAGGAGGGTATGCACGTTTAATTGTTGCCATTAGGTTTATAACAGAACGACCACGACGAGAATTTATGATTGTTTATACGTATAACGAAAGGTGGGCAGGAAGGTGTTGAGGGCGATACCCGATAAACCTCGCATGGAACACACGGGTCTCATGATAAATTTGATTATCAGTAGCTGCAGTTTAGCACTGACCAATGCAGAGACCGGGCACATCATTGCCAAGCATGAAATGCCGCGTATATCTTTCGCTTCGGGAGGCGACACGGTAATGTATCTCGTACATCTGTCTACACGCTTCCAACTGAAATTACTCGTAGACGCTCTTACCGTCCCATGTCCCGTTCCAGGGAAGACTGGACTTCGTGGCGTACGTTGCCAAAAATATGGACGAGTGCCGCGCATGTTACGTATTAGAATGCGGAGGAGGATTGGCACAAGACGTCATATCTACCATTGGGCAAGCTTTCGAGTTGCGATTCAAGGAATTTCTTACGAAACCAAATTCGTTACAGTAATTATCGATCGTTTTCATTCGTGCAATTGGCGTAAATTCCCTGATCGTAGACTCGAGCCACTGTCAATCTGGTTTAAATGACCGCAGCCCTATATTGAACGGCGGACGAGAAGCAGACAGAGATTATTACAACGATCTTCCGGGAAAAGTTCCTCCGGACATCGTCGGACCTCCGCCGCCGGTTCCACCCTTACCGATCACGGCGTCGACTCTACCCAATTTGAAGCATCACCATCACACTGCACAGATTCACGCGTCGCGGGTCAACAATATTTCGCACAATTCGGTCCTACGCGGGGACACGTTCTCTTCGAATTCTGACCAGAGACATCGCGAACAATGGGCAGGTAACGTGACTGGCGATCCCATCGTCGTCGACAATGCCACGGTATCGTTACAACACTGAATCGTTACGATGCAGAGACTGGAAACTTGATCGATCTGAACTCAGACGGGACGTCGACAAATTTCAACGCGTCCCTCGAACACAATTACGTGAACGATAGCGTGGTAGCAGCTTCCAGAGAAAATCATCGCGATCAAACGTCGCTCTTCGACGTGTTCGACATGCGTAAGTAGCTTCCGTGAGAGCGTGTGAAAGCGAGGTGAAAGACGACGTCGTGAACCTTTTCACACGACGAAATCAACGACGACGAATTCTTTTTAGAACCGTTTAGTTCCGCGATATCGGACATGAACAGATTGAGTCCGCATTCTCAGAAACAGCAGTTGAAGCATGAGGTGTGGTTCCATGGTAGCGTCAGCCGTGCCGAAGCGGAATCGATGTTGACGAGGGTAAGCGTCCAAGCTTACTTTCATCGTTTGTTCGCATCTCATCTCGCCCCTGACACCTTTTCAGGACGGAGACTTCCTGGTACGCGAATCTCAAGGCTCGCCTGGCCAATACGTTCTCACCGGTATGAACAACGGTACGCCGAAACATTTATTGTTGATCGACCCGGAAGGCGTAGTAAGTATTCTAACCGCGCACCTTTTCTGTTCTCCTCCTTTCCCATTCATCGCTGGTTTACGTGCATCTTTAATAATCTACTCCTATTATCCGGTTACAGGTTCGCACGAAAGACCGCGTTTTCGATAGTGTGAGTCATTTAGTGAATCATCATTGTGACAATCTATTACCAATTATATCGGCCGACAGCGTTTTAGTACTTCGTTATCCGATTCCCAGACGTACGAGTCATTGATTTCGACCAAGGGTCAAATTCTCTCGTAGATCACTGACGATCAATGTACCACCTAAGTACCTAATAGGTACTCGAGACTGCTCTCTTACACGGTTTAGCATTTGTTAACTGGCCAGATTTTGCTTGTATAATCACGTGATTCAATTCTATTTTTACCACGACTACCCCTACCACGGTCGTGTCTCGACCGTCTGACAGGAGAAGGGAGACGATGGGTAATTTATACAATTTTTTATCTGATCTTCTCGCGTCGAGAACAAATGCCTAACAACGGCTAATATTTTGTGATCATTTGTGACTGTGACGACGACGAGAGAAGAGCCTATTGAACGATGTGACGTCGCGGTATCACAGATTCAGATTAATTTCAGTTCGCGCGTATACAAGTATATGTAAGACTGAAAACGACGTCTCACGCATGCCATTGTTACACCTCGAAATGTGCCAGCAGAACTTTATTTTCTACTACCGATGGCTCGCTACAAATACCGAATACATCTTGACTAATGACTACGTCTTTGAATTTTTTATCGGACTTTTGCTGCCCATGTACAAAATACAAATATACAAGTGTATAGATGGCCATGGCCTTCGTATACAAAATCTTTTTGTAACCTCGGTCATTTCAAGTTACGTAAGATGGAACTGTTTCTACAAATGTTTTTACAAACTTTTCAACGTCCACACGATCCGATATATTTTAATTCAACGTTTGCGAACCGATTTACGCTGCTGGTATTCTCAATTTTAACAAAACTATACACCTATTCACGTTAAATCGATGTTTTCATCGGACTAAATTTTATTCACTGTATTTGACACTTTTCGATTTTTCCACCTTTACCAGCATCATATATCGTTTTTATGCAAAATTCAAACGTGAAATTTGAACACGTGAAATGTGCTTATACACGTTATACCCATCCTATAACGTTTTAATATCTCTTTTTCGTAAAGCATACAAATTATTATATTCACTTTAATACTCACGTTTTTGGCAAGATAAACGTGAACGGACGTCATTTAAATATAGTGCGTAAAAATTATTCGTATCACGTTACGTACGTTGAAGAGAAAACTATGTTGTAAGACCAAATTGATCGAGCCATGAATAAATGTTTATAATAATACAGGATGATGAGAGTATGCAGGAGTGTGTCTTTTGGACGTACGCACGATGCGCGCGTGGTCTGCGCACGACAACGCATGATGGCCGCTGCGCTGGGCAAGGAATCCGGGAGCGGTGATCGCGCTCGCGGCTGTAATTAAAATCACTACTCTCTCGGCTGTACAATTTTTTACAGGAGAAAATATATTCGTCGAATCTTGTACATATAGTATAGTTGTCTGCAGGTTGTAACCGAAATCTGAATTTCACTCTTTCTCGGCGCACATCGCTTCCATGGAAATTCCCACAAATGTATCGCATTTTCCCATCTATACCGAAGAGGTACACAGAGCTTTGGCATACATATATGTGTATATGTGTGTCATGGACGCATGGAACCACGGAAACATGTCGTGTAGTATTATGGCGCCAAAATTTTACCGTACGCGTGGATGGATAAACAATTAATTTTTGCACCGATGAACCGTGTTACGTTTTGAAAGTTTCACGCGCATGGTGACGAGGTATGAAAAATATCACGCAGTATTTCGACGATAGCGTTAAATCTGTTAACGGTGCAACGAGTTGCGCTAACAATGAAACGATGAGGGAAGAATACTCGCACGATAAAAAAGGCTCGAGAGGGAAGCGTAGTCGTGTAAAAATTAGAATATCCCGATCGAGTACAAGCGAAAGGATATGTGACATCGTAGAGAATAGTAACGATATGATCGACAAAACACCTAGTCCGTTCTCGAAGGAGAACGGTAAGAATGAAAATCAACGCGATACACCGAAAAGATCTTCAACTTTAAAATCGATATTAGCAACGAGGAACAAAACGTTAACCGACAACGGCCAGAATATAAATCATAAGGGATCAAACAATTTTAATGGTAGCAGTGACAGTGATAACAGTAGTAACGATGGTAATAGCAATGACAAGAAGAAGCAGAAGAAGCGGTTCAGTGAAGATTGTCCCAAGGTTTGTTCGGAGACCGATAAAAGATTGAAAAAGGAACTGATCGATAAACTGGACGTTAGTAGAGACAGTCGCACGAGCGGAAATAGTAAAGTCAAGGATAAAAAAATGATCGATGACGACACGATGGAATTAATAAATGTCGATCCTAACGACGAGGGCGAAAGCGGTAAAGACGAATGCTCGTCGAATGCTTTTGCGATTTTGATGGGCCATAATAAGCCAGTGGCACAGTGTCCCGCGGCGCAAACGAAATTCAGTCCCCCGGATGCAAAAGCAGATGCTAAAAGATCGGAGGAATGCAGGGAAAAATTGAAACGTACCAAGGAAAGGCTCGAAGCTTTGGCCGATAAAAGAGGACGTTCCAAGAGGAAAGTCGCGGAGATGGAAGAAAGTGAAAAGATAGAAGAAATGATAAAAGATCGGCTAAAACTTTTCAAGGGAGAGAAGAAGAAAGACAACGGCGCGATCACGACCAATTTAAGCCAAAAGCAATCGGCCGGCACGTTATTGAATTATTTCAGGTAATTGTATAACGTATTATTTCATATGTTCTACCGTAGTTAGACGTACCGTCAATTAAAAGTCTGTTTTACTCTTGTCCCGACGTTCCCTTAAAAATAGCAAAGCACCCGTGGATTTAAATACTGCGGGCGTAACTACCGTCGTGGTGAAAGCCGATGTACACGCGACCCAGAGCGATGATCAATCCCAGAGCCGACCGACCAAGAGATCGATTAAAATTAAACAAATACGCAGAAGCAGGAGGATACGCAGGAACAAAGGATCGGATTTCGATTTGTCTCGAGTGGATGACATAAGGATCGTAGAGTCCGATAACGTCGATGTTCTCGGTAACGAGGGCGGCAAACGTGACAGGCGGCAGACGAAAAGAGGTAAATGGTCGTTGAAAGTGAATCTTCGAGCTTCCGAGAACGTCGAGGATACCATTCTAGGTAATTTACGCGATGGTCATTTTCGAATGTCGTCCATTTACGTTGAAACTGATATAAATGATGAACATGAATTCGTGAGTCTCCCAAATATCAACACTTTTGGTCGATGGCAATGATCTTCTCGCACTTTGATCGCTGATATTTCAATCTTTCTCATTCATCGTTCTGTCACACCTTTCACGTATACCGTTATACACATATACATAGAGGTAACTTTTTATGTTCGTAACAGTAAGCAGCAGTAGCAGCAGCAGCAGCGATGAAGAAATATTTACGGCAAGAAGGACCGGCACTGAATTAAACATGGAAAATCGTAAAAAATGTGGGACGTCAAAAAGCGTAGATCTAAAAACTTCACCGACGACAAAGGGTAAGAAGACTGAAAAAACCGTTTCGAAGCAGGCCAACGGTGCGACGACGAAGCTGCGCAAAAAGAAAGGCGGAGAACCGACGGAGAGTAAACAGCAGGAATTGGTCAAAGGCGATGAATACCAATCGCGTCCGATGGAACTTATCGTTCTCGCGGAGAACAACGATACGCAGAGTCAACAGAACGGCCAACAGTGGCCGGTTCGTGAAAACGATCGAAGAAGGAAGGCGGCTAAGCTGGCACCTTTATTCGCGAAACGAAAGAAGCCGGATCCAGAGGCGATGGCTGCACGTCGATTATTTTTACGACCAAATACGACGGACACTTGTACGAAAGGTACAAATCGGAAGATGGGATCCGTTTATGGTACGTTATCATCGTTCCCGTTGATAAGCCATGTCACTCAGTTGAGCAGCCGTTCAGCCGTTTTTGACGGATGTAAGATTCCGAACGAGATTCCGAAGGTGCCGGCCAAACACGTTCCACTAATAGATTCAAGCAATTTTAAAGACGTGATAGACTGGTCAAATGGAAGGTCGTCGTCGTCGTCGTCGTCCAAGTCCAAGTCCAAGTCCAAGTCCAAGTCTGTTGAGAAACTGGCCAGACCCCCCAGGGTCTCGGATGTATTGGCAGAATTAGGGAGAAATTGTTCGAACGTGAAGGAAATATGGGATGTTATCTCTGTCATTAAGGGAGGATCGAACAAAACGATCAAATACCCAAAATCATCGTTGACGGGTAAAAGAAGGAAACAATCGGAGACGAAGGAGAAGATCGAATCGATCGACGAGGAACAGCTCGAGTATTGCAGTTGGACTTACAAATACAGGCCGAGACGTTCTGGACAAGTGATTGGAAACGATGAAGCTGTTAGAAAGTTGAAGGACTGGTTGATCGGATGGAGCGCAATTTCTGCTGCGACGAACGGAGACAGTGGTGATGAATTTTACCAGTCCGACAATAGTCGTTCGACGAGTATCGAAAGTAATCAAGTAGCCGTGCTGCTCGGACCACATGGATGCGGTAAAACGGCCAGCGTATACGCGATAGCCGAAGAATTTGGTTACACGTTAGTATGAGAAAAAAGAGAGAAAACGATGTATCTTTTGTACCTACAAAATCAATTGACTCACGCGGCTCGTAATCAGGCATATCTCTTCTGTTCGTTAGCGTGTTGGAATTAAACGCGTCGTCTAGAAGGACAGGGAAGAAACTTTCGAAGGAGTTCGAGGAAGCGACCAAATCGCATCGGATCAAGAATAATAACGGCAAGGCAGCTGCTGTTGCTGCTGTTGCTCCTCCTACCGCTCTTTACTACGATACGAATTTAGATGAAATCGAATCGAAGGACGTGCCACAAAACTCTCTGATTCTTCTGGAGGACGTTGATCTTATATTCGAAGAGGACGAAGGTTTCGTTTCGGCTGCCTATCAGTTGGCGTCCAACTCGAAGCGTCCGATCGTAATGACTTGCAGGGACGTTTGTCCTCATTTGAGTAAAATGGCACCTCAGCAAACTAAAATTCATTTTCAACGACCCAGCGGCAACGCGGTATCCGTTCTGTTGGAATTGATTTCGATGGTAGAAACTGGTTACAGGCTGCCGAGCGATCGTAAAATCGTACGTATGTAAATGCTGACACGTAGTAGATCAGCCGACACAATTGTATCGTTCGTACAACGGAATAATACCGTTATTTGTTTTTCTTTTGTTGTTGTTGTTGACAGGATCTATTGCAAACCGGCGACTTACGAAGGTCTTTATTACAACTGCAATATTTATTGCTGTCCGGTCCACTAAAAATTCTCGACAGAAGCGTCAATTTGAAGAATTCATTTTGGCACAGCGTGCTGTGCAACGTATACAAGCCGGCGATTAAAGTAAGTAAACGGTCGAAGAAGAGGTCGAAAGCGTCGAGCAACGAAAAGATCAATGATAAAAGTATATTAATTGATCTAGCTAGTAAATTAGATGATATAGCGTTAATGTCGTCTTTGACCGACGTTCAGGACACCGCGTTGGATCTGTCCGAAATAAAAATTCAACCGAACTTGTCCTTGATCGAGGACACGTCTACGTATTCGTCTTCTAGTGACGTGTGTCTAGAAATAAGTGAATGGATAGGAAACAAAGTAATGCGGACAGGACAGTTTAGCGACAGCGAACTACAGCTTCATAACAATATCGTGCTCAGAAAACAGATAAACAAGAACGTAGACTTAGTTTTAGCGCGTGCTACCACGTTCGTGTTGGATCGTCGAATTCTGGCTATGGATTATCTCCCATCTGTAAGAGCAATATGCAGAGCGGAGAAGTCGCGAGCCACCGCGAACAGTAAAAGGGGAAATCGATTCTTTCATTATCTTCATAACTTGAAAGTAGCAGCAGCAATGGCGGCGACGACGACGACGACGACGACGACGACAATGACCGCAGCGTCGGTGTTCAAACCGAACATTTTAACAGCAGCGTGCGACATGATGCACGACGCGATCCGAGACGATTCAGAGACGAGTCGGAGTTGAAACGACCCGAGCTTTGCGTAGCTCTGTTGCACGTATGTGTATATGCACGTGTGTAGCCTGTATTGTACATGGACGTCATTAGGAAAAGTTAATCCAGTCCGGTGGAAACGTTTTTCTTTAAATTTGGCCACGGTCTAACGAAAGTGTGATCTGCTGTGCGACCGCCGAAGAGAACTTGCTGACGTTAAACCGGAGACGACGTATAGCTTATTTCTTTATCTCTTTCTATTTTTTGATAAACCGAAATCTCTGAATGCCCATGTAATTTTTAAGAAATTAAAGAGACAGTAAACGGTAAACGCTTTTGCGCGTTGCACAAAAAACTGTTCACGTGTGTGCGTTAGTATTGGAAAATATTGTACATAGTTGTGAAACGTTGAAACATAGCAGGACGTGTGTCTGGACGAATCGACGTCGTGTACGATGAATTCGATACGTCGTGTATCGATGGTTTTATAGAGTTTGATAATTTTTAATAGAAAAGGAAAACGCGACGTAGATACAGGTAGATGTATCGTGGTGATACGTGTGGTACAACGTAACGTTGTCTGCCGACACCGACCGATACAGTGAAATCGTCTTATGATTATATAAATAAAAATTTATGCTTACTGTTGATCAATCAGTTTATTCGGTATTATACCGCATTAATGAATTAAATTTTAATATGATGCAGCTTGCGGTTTAGTTCCTCGAACTTTAAAATTTTTCGAATGAAGAAATCACCGTAACGGTGCGCGACCTTCGTGTCAGCGATGTGAATCATATCGTGGTCGATGTAAAAGTCCAGCTGTAACATTACAAGACGTACCGAACATGATGAATATCGAGAAGATTCCAATAGAAAGAGTAAAAATATCGTATCGACCTATATGATGATCGTACGAATTACCTCTGATCCGGACTGAAATTTCCCATCTAATCCGGATGCTCCTTTCGTCCAAACTATGTTCTTCATTTTGTGTTTGAAACACAGCAAGTGAATAGTGAGCGCATTGACTTCTTTGTCCAAGTCCCAACTCTCCTCGGGTCTGGTATTGCTACTCATGAACGTGGCTAGTTTGCTCAATGGTAAAGTCGTGTACAATTTCAAATAGGAACGAATCGTTGGCAACATCTTTTGCTGCACGACTTCGTCCATGAAGACTTGAGTCTGGTGCTTGACCGCTTCCCGGACATAATCCTCGTTCGGATTCTCGGGATTCGGCGGCGTGAGGGACACGAACTTGGGACAAGAATGCACAAAGATCGATTCGAATTCGTCCAGATCGCCGTACTGCATCTTGTACATTTTCTCGTGATAATTCTTGTCGCGCAACGTCTGCTGCAATCCCTCGTCTATGCATTGCGGATGTAGCACGAGGCAGATCGCTAGCAAGTTATACATTTGGTCCGTTTGTTTGTTGATTTGATCATTTTGATAATTTTTCGTCGCGAACAATTGCTTCGTCCGTTGAATGTACAATAAAATGCCGGAGAACGTTCTGATCGCATCCGCGTATCTACGCATCATCATGTACGCGAAGCCAACGTAATACGCCGTCGATATTTGGCAACCGGGAACGTGAGAGTACGCGCTCTTCTTATAAAGTTCCACGTTCTCCAGCACCTTTATGGCCTGATAGTAGTCTCCCGAAAGAGAGTGTAAACGCAAAAGACCGACGAGAGAGAAATAACCGAGCATTTTGTACAAAGAATGTCTCCCGAACACCCCGGCGACAGAATCCGGATCTCCGCCGCTCGCATACACCTCCAATTGACTTTTGATCTTGGATTTATCTACCAAGTAATGCAGAACGTTCAGAATGAACATCACATCCCATGCTTTATTGTGGTCGTTCAACGTGTCGAGTTCATCGGCCGTTTTATTCGACAAATTCGCACGATAATATTGAAACGATTGAAATTGATAAACGTACTCGTCGATGAGCTCCCACAACCATTGATCGGGTAATTCTAACTGTACCGGCGTTTCCGACCGCAGAAGGTGGTTAAACAGTTCGCAGTAATTAGAAAAAGAATCAAGACGATGCTGCAACGTGGGCCCGTGACTGGACGTGCGAGCGTAAATGTGTCGATAGTAAAGCTCTTTGTATAAACAGAGAAACAGTGAATCGTTGTCGACGAATGGCTTGATCGCTGTCGCGTCCGGCCAAGATGATTTCTCGAAGAACTGTTCCGAAATTTTTGGAAACGACGTCTCGTACAGATTTTGCACCTCGAAGATCAGCCCCTCGTTTATACACGTTCGTAAATATACTACAAAGTCTCGTACGACTTCTGGCACCACACGGTAATGTGGGCTTTCGTACTGGTCACCATATACGTCCGGTGATCCATAACTGTCGTGAGCGTCATACTGTAAAAAAAACGATGCACCTCTTAGCCTATCGTCGCTCATTGGAACGATATTTCGATTTAAATAGTTTAGTTAACTTTCGATTTCGATAGTAAAACGACTCGGCTTGCTCACCCTGTTGTAATCGTCGTACATCGTATCACGTTGTACTGGCTGACTGGAACCTGACCCGATCTAACCTCTATCTAACCTCAATCTAACCAACGTGTCTTCTTCTGACGCTTGTCAAGTTGTTCGCCGCAGTTCGCCGCAATGGAAGTTGTTGCGTTGTTGTGAATCGACTTTTTCACCAATTTCTCAACACACGGCGCTGTTGCGAGGCGCTAGTGGCGCCATCTAGCGTAAATAGCTGCAAATATATACCTTGCATTAGGAGAATATAAGTCGTAAGAGGTAGCACTATCTCCGGGTGATGACGTCATTGGTAGGACGTTAGTGCTACCTCTTACAACTTATATTCTCCTATTACAAAGTATATATTTGCAGCCATTTACGCCAGATGGCGCCACGAGCAACTCCAAATTCATCGGGGCCAAGCACTTTCGCGGCCATGAACGCTAGATGGCGCCACGAGCAACCCCAAAATCATTTTAACTTACGTTTTAAAATGTTAATTAACCTAATAATTGATTAAATAATAAGTAAATGATACAATGAACGAATAACGTTTATTATTTTTATAATTTACACCGTTCCTGTATTTTTACGTTCCCTTTACATTCAATTTCAAAATAAAATTACATCATTTACCAATTATCACGCAAACCTCCCTTAACCTCAATCGTGTGCCTGCGTGTGTGTGTGTGTGTGTGTGTGTGTGTGCGCGCGCCGTGTGCCGTGGCAGTGGTGTGGTGTGGGTGGACTGTGATGCGCCGTGCGGTGTGTAATATTTCTCAATGTAAATTTGTCGTTCTCTCGTTAGACACGTACAATGGGCATATTAGAGAAAATATCAGAAATTGAAAAGGAAATTGCACGGACGCAAAAGAACAAAGGTTCGTATGTATACACGTATATAATAATCAGAATGTCGTCTCTTAACCTCAGCAGACCTGGACCTAGTCTCACATACTCACGTTCAGAGTCGTGTAACGTGTAACGAGACGTGTATTTGAGAAGCATCGAGCGCTAAAAGTTAAAATTGTCCTTGCCATAGAATGCATTTAACGAAACGTGATCTTGCGAATCTTTGCATCGTGCTCACTCGTATCTCTCTCGCTCTCGATTATATAGCAACTCGATTTATGAATTTTCAGCCACCGAATATCACTTAGGATTGTTAAAAGCGAAGCTCGCAAAGTACAGATCGCAGTTGTTAGAGCCACCAAAAAAATCTGAGAAGGGAGAAGGATTCGATGTGTTAAAATCAGGGGATGCGAGGGTAGCTTTGATAGGTTTTCCTTCGGTCGGAAAGTCTACTTTGTTGAGTACTCTGACGCACACGGAATCCGAAGCCGCATCTTACGAATTCACGACGTTGACGTGTATACCTGGTGTCATCGAATACAAAGGAGCCAACATACAGCTCCTCGATCTTCCTGGAATAATCGAAGGTGCTGCACAGGTAATGCGTCACTCACTTTTCAATGTCTCACGTGAGACTGGAATGGATTTTTCTAATACTTACGACATTTAAGGGGAAGGGAAGAGGCAGGCAAGTGATAGCTGTCGCAAGAACGGCAGATTTGGTTCTCATGATGTTAGACGCTACCAAGCAAGATGTACAGAGGCAACTGTTAGAAAAAGAATTAGAATCGGTCGGTATAAGACTTAACAAAAAGAAGCCAAACATATATTTTAAAATAAAGAAAGGAGGCGGACTGGCGTTTAATTCGACGTGCCCGTTGACGAAAGTCGATGAGAAATTAGTTCAAATGATCTTGCATGAGTATAAAATTTTCAATGCCGAGGTCCTGTTTCGCGAAGATTGCAGTGCGGACGAATTAATCGACGTGATCAATGCCAACAGAGTATATTTACCATGCCTTTATGTACATAACAAAATAGATCAAATATCTATAGAGGAAGTGGACAGGATCGCGAGGCAACCTAACAGCGTAGTGGTTAGGTGAGAATATCTGTTTGTCCGTAGATCGGAATTTACGAGAGAAACTTGACACGCGCAACGTACTCCGACGTAGGAGCTCTGACGATCGACAAATCATATTTGACTCTCATACATTATGTTCTCCCGTAGTTGTAATATGAAATTAAATTTGGATTTCCTTCTTGAAACGCTATGGGAATATTTATCTTTGATAAGAGTTTACACTAAGAAGCCTGGGCAACCGCCTGATTTCGACGACGGTTTGATATTAAGGAAAGGAGTCACCGTGGAACACGTGTGCCATGCGATACACCGTACGCTCGCTCAACAATTCAAATATGCTCTCGTATGGGTAAGGATCGTTCGTCGCGTACTCACCCTCGCGAAGAGTGCGTCGTCCGCCGTGGAAACGTTGTCAGACGTTTCATATTTTGTTTCAGGGAACGAGTACCAAGTATTCGCCTCAACGAGTAGGCCTGCAGCACGTTATGCACGACGAAGACGTTATTCAAGTAGTTAAGAAATAAAGTTCATGTCACGGCAGATCTGTGAAAATCTGGATGACCAGAGGTCGGATGATGCTCGGCTCGGTTATTTCGACAAAAATTTCTGTTTTCTCATCATTAAATATTTTATACATAATTGCTTTTCTAATTATAAGAAAAACGATTGGATTTTAAACGATCGATTTCAATTACGTTCCGCTTATACCGTTTACTAGTGTGAAAAGTTTATACTTATAACTACATGTTACATTTTCTAGAAAGTTAAAGGCTAGAATAGCTTAAGTACAATTTTTAATAAATATTCGTATGAAAACGATCGGATCGTGAGAACGCAGTATTGTTTAATAATCGTGTAACACTCGTGTATAGCCTTGACAATACATCTGAACAGTTGCTGCAGATCACTGTTCGTTGAGTTTGTTGTTGTGATTCGTTCATGTCTGAAAATTGTATCGACAAAATGTAATTTTACGACGTGCATTCGATTAAAGAGTCGATGGTGGAAAGTGGTCGAAACACTTGGAAACCTGTCGAGGTGGTGGTGATGCCGATGTCGAGCAGAAGACATGTGTGATTCGAACCGTCCCTCGCGTTTTCCATTTCGCTTTACCCGCCGAAGGTGTCAGCACGATCAGCCCCGAGACGAGTGGTGGTGACCAACCAGCTTCGCACCGGTGCCCGTACGTATGTATGCACGTTGGGATTACTTGGGATGCACAATTGCGCTGCGACTGCTTGCGACCGTCGAGCGTCGAGGTCGAGCGAGGGTGTCGAGTCAGCTTTGGCTCGCCTCTGTATCCAGTATCGAACTCCGCGTCGCAAGTTACGGTCGTAAACGTAACATTTACGTGTTTGTCGTTCAGCTGCTCGGCGGCACGTTGTATGTTTATATCGGTGTTTTGTGTAAAAACTATCAGGTATCCACGATGAGCGCCGAGGAAGAGGTGTTGCGGATCCAGAAAAAGTTGAACAAAATGTCGAGCGGTGACGGAACGGTGAGTGAGTGAGTAAAATATAGTTGTTGTGTATCGCTGTCGCGCGTTCGGCATATTGGAGATCGAGATCGCATCAATTGATCGAGAACCAATCATTTCTTCGAACAGAAAACACGATCGTTGCGTGAACTGAACGACCAACACGACCGTTGCGAACAACGTTACACACGACACGACTCTTTCATTCGACTCGCGCGTCTACTTAAGTATTAGACGAGAAAAAGACGAACGTTTATTCGTACGCTGTCGGTCGCATCGTCGTCCGTAGTCCTAATAATGTTCGATACGCGAGAATGGTTACGACTACGACGTGTGTGTCGAGTCGGACGTGTGCAGTCTTATCATTGTCGGCGTACCATGATTCTGTCATTCGCGAAGCTTGGCCGTTAAGTCATGACCGCGTTCTCGTCCGCGTTCTCGTCCGCGAGAGACCGCGAGATTCAGATTCGTAAAAGCGCGCGATGGAGATTGATGCTACCCACCAAGCGACCGTTATCGTTGATCGTTACATTTATCTAACATGTTGATCGGTACTACTCGTTGTACTTACCACGCGCGGGTACCGTTTCGTCGCACCTGGTCTAGCCGTGGTTCAGGTTCAGAAAAAAGAACCGCTCGTTATCTGGACGCATATTACCGTGTACGTTAACGCGATAATCGGGTAAGGACGGCCGATAACAATGGTTTCGATTACATAAAGAGAAATAACACGACTACTGATTGGTAATGTGACCGAGGAGGTATACCTTGTCTTCTCTTTTTGTTTCAGGGACAGGAACAGGCATTGGAACTGCTCAAAGTATTGCAAAAGTTGCCGGTCGATTTGGAACTTCTGACCAAGACACGTATCGGTATGACGGTGAACGCGTTAAGGAAGTCCAGTAGAGACGAAGAAGTGATATCGCTGTCCAAGACTCTGATAAAAAATTGGAAGAAATTCCTGTCTGGTAAATAGATGATGACGATGATGATGAATGATTGTTCCAAGTAAAACTTTTAGGTGAACGTACGCGACCACCGATTATACTATATTGTTCTTTTGCACGTCGAAGGATCGAACAAAGAGAAGGATTCCACTTCTTCGAGCGGTTCAAAGAAGAAGGACGACAAGTCGGAAAAGAACAACAAAGATGACGGGGACCAGAAGAAGGACAAAGATAATGCGGACGGGAACGACGCGAAAGTGAAGGAAGAGAAGGCTCACAAAGATATGCAAAGAAAACAATCGACGTTTCCCGCTCCGACCACCACCGATGCCGTCAGGCTAAAGTGTAGGGAACTTTTGGCAGCAGCTTTAAGAGTGGACGGTAGCACAATCGAGGGTTGCGCGTCCCCCGAAGAACTGGCCGAGGAACTGGAGGAAGCTATTTATGCAGAATTTAAGAACACCGACAACAGATACAAGAACAGAGTAAGCTCACCGTTTTCATATCGCGACAGTTTTCACCTTGTCGTTCCTCTCTCCGACGTTCTACTCGATTGTGTAACGTGCAGGTACGAAGCAGGGTCGCTAATCTTCGTGACGCGAAGAATCCGAATCTTCGAACCAATTTTATCGCTGGCGCCATCACACCCGCCAGGCTGGCCGTTATGACAGCGGAGGAGATGGCGAGCGACGAGATAAAACAATTGCGGGAACAGTTCAAGAAGGAGGCGATCAACGATGCTCAACTTGCCGTGGTCCAAGGGACCAAGACCGACTTATTGAAATGCGGTAAATGCAAAAAACGTAACTGCACCTACAATCAAGTGCAAACGCGTTCCGCCGACGAACCTATGACTACTTTTGTGCTGTGCAACGAATGCGGGAACCGATGGAAATTCTGTTAAATATCGTCGAAATCCAGGCGTCCATCGTCCTTTCTGATCGCGCGATCGCGAGGGTGAAAATCTGTTTGGTTCGAGATCCATTCTATCGAATCGTAATTCACTCGATCCGATCGAGCTCGAGCGCAGCGTTTTTCATTCGCAGAGAGCCGTGCGCCGATTATTTCGTCTTCGCTCAATCGACCTTTCCATCTTTCATTCTCTCTCGAATTTTCTTCTATCTCTGTCCTCCTATTCTCGTTCTATTGTACATAACGACACTCTAATCTTGCCCGGCGATCACGCGTGAAATTCGACTAAAATCAACGATGCTTTTATCCTTATTGTTCGTTTGCGACTCGTACGAATAGAATCTCGTGTGTTCATTTCGAATCGCGCTAGGATGGGATAGGATCGCGTAAAAAATTCAACCTGTACGATTCAACACACCGAGGAGAGAAGAGTTCTTCGAGAGGAGAGGAGAGACTCTTCTCACCTCGCCTCGCCTCGCCTCCGCACTCGCGCACATTCTGACAAGTTTGCATAATACACGTTACGTGTGAACGATTAAACATTGTGAATACAGCTCTGAAATACATGTATGTAATTAGAGTGTAGCACTTCTGGAGAATACCTCTTTCAGACAGTTCCAATTTCTTTTAATCATCAATTTCGTTCGTTTAATCGTCGCGTACGTCTTCGGAGCCTGATACATAGGCTCCTATAACGGGAAATCAAACGACAGTTTTTCAGGAAAATGGTAGTAATCGATCCCGGTGGTTGAAAAATCGTCCAAGCCATCGTAAGAAAAAAAATATATTTACTTTCATTGCGATTTTGCGGGAATGATAATATACACGTGAGAAGTTACTTTTGAAATGGAACTGATTATAAAACTAAACACCGTGTCATCTGGTACTCGAAGAGACTAGTTACCTTTACGGTACTCAACGCGTCAATGTAGATAAGTCGGAAATGTCGGCCAGATCGATATCGATATCAGTGTCCGAGAGACAGTGTTGGTATCCCTCGATCGTGAATAACGATATTCTCGATCGCGACGGTTCGTAGATGAACGGTGGAGAGGAGGGAACGTTGATAATATTACCGACTTCGGAGCCTGGAGACATCGAGTTCAGCCTCGACGACGATGCCCGCGGTGGCGACGGCTCGTGTGTAAACGACGGAGAAGGAATTCTACCGATGTCAGAGCGCGGAGTGATTTCTGTGAAGTTTGTCAACGTTTCGTCCAAATCGTCGTTCGTCTTATCCGTAGTCGTGATCGGGAACGCTGGAGATTTTCTCACATCCTCTTCCCATCCCGAATAAACGCACACAGGCTGCATGATCATGTCGAACGAACAGTTGGACGACACGAGATCATCCGGATCGGTGGCCCGATCAACAGTTTCATCTGCTGCGTTCACGTCTAGTCCGGGGTGGTACACTGGCGATCTCACTGAGCCGGGGCTTGGTCGCCCCCCATGGTTATCATCTTGCACGTCGCCCTCGCTCTCGTTCGTCGCGTTCCTTTCCTGCTGCTGCTGCTGCTGCTGCTGCTGCTGCTGCTGCTTATTTTCTTCTCGCTCGTCATTTCCCTCGTCATTGCCCGTTCGTTTGCAGTGCATGAGAAACTCGACAAGCGAGTTCACTTGCTCCCGTTGGAAATCGCCACTCTCTAATAATTCGTACAAATCGACCAGGGCATCGTAATGATCTCTCTCCGTGGCGTTTAAATCCGATGTCGCTCGATGGATGACCTGCCAGGAATCACGTATCGCAATCGTGTTCGTGTCCGTGAGCATCGACGAAACATCTTTTCTTCTACGTGCCGCGCTACGTTCCGAAGCGTATCTCCTTGCTTTTTCTGTGACAGGCTTCGGTAAACCGGAGGATTCGGCTAAAGCGATCCCATAATCATCGGTAGGTGCCACACCTCGTCTCAATTTATGAGTGTACGTCGATCGTCGATCTTCCGATCGCTGCTGAATCAGATTTATTCTAGTCTCGAAATGTAGACTGAAACAAACGATGGTACACGATAAGTCGACGCTCTGTGTATGATAAAAATGAGAATGGCTCGAGTATGGTTGCCGATGCCTCGAAGAGCGAACGGAGCGACATACTTGGTCACGTTCACATGCAAATACGCCAGATTCGTCAAGTAAAAGAAATGAGTCGCGACGAAAATGAAACTAGTCGTGTTGAGTAGTTTCTCGCATATGGCCCAGGCGATCGAGCCACCTTCTTCGGTGGCAGTACCCTTGCACGGTTCGTCCAGAACGATCAGCGAGTTTGCCGTGACCGATTGCAAAATGTACCGCGACTCCTTCATCTGAAAAGCGAACGTGAATCGACGAATCGAGAAGTTGCAAACGTTACGGGTAACAACAATGTGAATCGAAGACTAGTCGGACCTCGAGTGCAAAAGTGGAAGCGTTGCATTCGATGTCGTCGCGTACAGCTATCTTGCAGAATATCGCGTCCGTTATGCGAAACGTAGCTTTCCCAGCCGGAACGAAACAGCCTATCTGAGCCATGATGTGAAGCAAGACGATTTGTTTGAGATAGGTCGATTTCCCGCTCATATTTGCTCCGGAGATGACGGTCACGTTTCGTGGTACCGACGTCCTCTGATCGTCACCGGAAAAAACAGAAGGAAGTGAGCAGAGGTGTGACCGTGGTGTGGCGGTACCGCCAGGGCTCGGCGAGGTGACTACGAGACGGGAACGGAAGCGAAAATGACAATTACTATGTCGTTGGACACGGGAGTGTCCAGGCCGAAAGCGTCCATCATCGGATGTCTGGACTCGAGCACTTCCAAACTCCGTCCGAACGTTGGTCTCACGTACGTTTGATGCGAGCTGACCAAAGCCAGAGACGTCACGAGATCCAACTCCGCGACGTTCGCGCACAAATCGAACATACAACCGATGTATTCGCGGATATTTTTTAACACGTCACAGAGGAGTATGTTACTCATTAAATGTAATTCGTCGCAGGCGATTTTGCATTGTTGACTCAACGCTGCGAGCGCGTCCGTGGTCATGGTATACGTTTGCATACGCTTTCGCACCTCTACGAACTCGGTCGGCAGAGTGAAATTCGAGTTTGTCTCGTTCACTTTCCGCGGCAACACCATTTTAACGTGAAAGCCCAGAGAAGCGTTGCAGTTGAGGGACAACGGCAAGCCGTATTTGTTCGCCAGAGCTCCTACCAGACCTACACCCGGAGAGAACAGCACAGACAACAGCGATAATAATAAAAAATTGATAAATAATTTTTTGATACTTTTCATGTCGTCGATCAGCTCGCAGTACGTTTGTCGAGCGACGTCCAACAGATCGTTGATTCCCGCCTTGATGGCGAAAGAGCGTTGCATGTTCGAAGACGTGTACCCGGCCACGAATCTCGCATCCGGGTGTATGGTCTCGAGTATTTTCTCTCGCATCAAACGAAAATGATCGTTGTCCAGTTTCTGAGATCGTAATCGTTGTTTTAACCGTGTTAATGGGTCAAGAGATTTTCGGCCGACCGCTTACCTTCTCAATTTTACGGATTAGATCGCTCTCGCCGACCGACAGTATCTTCCGAAGCTCCGGTACAGCGTCCAACAAATGTTTCAACAGCAGAACGTAATTTAAATTTTGCTCCGCGCATTGCACGCTGTTCTCGTGTAAAACGGTCGGCGTCATTGACAAAGCTAACAGCCTGTCGGCACCGTAAAATTGTCGCACGACAGGCTACGGCATCGAACGACGTTTCGAGTTAAAACGAACAATAACGATAATACTGAATAAACCAGGCACACCTGAATGAGAGCCTTTAAGGAACGATTGGACACTAATTCCGCAACGGCAGCTTGCCGCTCGAGAATCATATCTTCTTCGCAAGGCGGCTGAAGTATGTTGGCGCGTAACAGTTTTCTACCCATCGGCGTTGAGCATTGGTCCAGCATATTGAGCAAGCTGACATTTTGCCTGCCGCATTGCGACTGTACCAATTCCAAACTCCGAGCGCTCTCCAAATCTGCAAACGGTTCGCGTCAATTCGAGATTTAATCACTTTCGATGACTCGTGATCCGAAGTGATCATCGTTTCGATGCTGGTCTCGAGGTCGTACCTATTGTAGTGGCATTCGGTGACCCTTGAAATTCGATCTTCACCGATTTCGGGGCGTAGACAATATGTTGCACGTACTCGACGTACTTTAAAAGTGCCGCTGCCGCGGCCAACGCGTAATACCTGTACAATATACGTATACGACGTTTTCACTTTAAAACGCTGAGCACAGAGACTCTTCTTTTTGAATCACAATAGAAACGTTCTGTACATACTCACTTTTGTTTGATGAACAATTCTATTGCCGAATACTCGTCCAAGCAGAGAGTTTTGACTCGGTCTAATCCTACCGTGTCATTGAAATGGATACGAGACACCGCTGTTACTTGCATATCGGGAAAATTCTCCGTTATCAAACGGTACAGAATATTCTTATGTTTGGTACTGTCGCACATCGTGTCTGGCATCAATACCTAAGGAGATGAACGGCGACGGAATTACGAACACTCTCGACGACGTCGATTAAAGAGCTCAGTGCTCAGCGAATGCTTACTTCCGTCGGATCGAACAGGTACAGCCTGCTCAATACGTTGATATACGTCGGGGAGTCACTGATCTGACAAAGAATTACGTGCGGGCAATGAATGTTTACCGTGGCTATTCCTACTTCGCATCTCGCATCGCCGCGACCAGTCGTTATAGCTGCGCGCACACACACACACACACACACGATAAAAATTATAAATTATAAAATAGCCAGCAGTAACTGTAGACGAGCGGTACATCTGTGTCATCGTCGTCGTCGTCGTCGTCGTCGTCGTCGTCGTCGTCGTCGTCGTCGTCGTCGTCGTCGTCGTCGTCGTCGTCGTCGTCGTCGTCGTCATCGTCGTAGTAATTGTGACAAGCGTGAATCGAGGACTCGGTCTCACCAAGGATCGTGCCGCTAGAATCGCGTGAAGTCGAACCAGCACCCGTGGTGGTTCTTGTTCCAGACCTGCGGTATATAATACACTATACGTTATTCGTTCGGAGTTTTCGAATCGGTACTTGTTAGATCATGATAATACACGATGCTCGATACACGCGCACCTGGAAGCGTAATTGCGCGGCGACGTACTCGTCACCATAGAAGAGGACGCGGGGAAAGGTCTACGACCATGAGCGGTTGGAAATCTTGCGTTTTTCGATGTACTCGAACTCGCCGACGTGCATTTACGTTTATTTCTCGATTGCACGTTACCTCCATCCAAATCTAACGGGAGAGAAAAACAGACGATTATCATGAAGAGTATACGACGCTGAGCCCAAGTTGGATGGCGTTGTCAGAAAGATCATTTGATTCATACGCACAGCGTTTTGCCAACGCGACGTCGAACGGTTGTCGCAGTCTCGTCTGGGGTCGTTCCCTCGGTGGTTGGAACGTCGGCTCGGTTCTAATTACGTTCATTGTTTTACACTTGAAAAGAATTCGGATCGCCAAGTGTAACGCGTTTCAAAATGGACTACGAAAGCGGCGCGCACGCGCGGTCCCGCGCGCGCGTCGATTTGGTTCACAGCGACGCCGCCTACAGCTACGTGCGCCTGGAGTCTGGACTGGACGTGACCAGTAAAGATGAATTGAATGAAATGCGCTCAGCGTTGCTAGACGACTCTGGTTAATTGAAATAAATGCGTCGGAACGTGTATTAACTCGTGATCGTGCTCTTACAACCTGTTACTCGTACAATCCGTTTATTCCGTGTACATTTCAACCGAATCTTTCTGCGAACGATCTTACAAAAATGCGTAACGGTAAGAGAGAATGAATATAGGAGGTCTAGGCGGAGACGATCACTTCCACAGCTTCTTGATCGACATATTCTTTTCCGAATCCTTCTGCATAACTTTGGCTACGGCCATCTCGAAATCTTCTTGAGTCACGTGGACGCGACGTTCTCTGAGGGCGTACATACCAGCCTCCGTGCACACACCCTAGAAAAGTGAAACGAAATTCAGATCACCGTGTTCAGAGGATAATCGTTGTAATCGAGAGTCGATTCGTCTCTTGGAACAATTATAGAGGAGTACCTTCACTTCTGCACCGGACGCGCCAGGCATCAGCTCGGCAATCTTCCTTAAATTTATGCCGCGAGTCAAATTCATCTTCCTAGAATGAATTTTCAATATGTCGAGTCGCGCTTCCTCGTTCGGAGGTGGGAACTCGATTTTACGATCTATACGGCCCGGTCTCAACAATGCCGGATCCAATATGTCGATTCTGTTGGTCGCCATTATAACTTTTATATTCTTCGTTGCCTCGAAACCGTCCAGCTGGTTAAGCAACTCGAGCATGGTCCTTTGAACCTGATCGCAAATTATCGATTAACACGGCACTTAACGGCAAGTCGAGTTGATCGATCGAGGCCATCGATCTCGTCGGGGTAAAACGTATTTTACAAAACGTACTTCGCTGTCTCCTCCGGAGCCAGATTCGATGCGAGAACTTCCGATCGAATCTATTTCGTCCATGAATATTATGGAAGGTGCGTGTTCCCGCGCCATTACGAACAATTCGCGGACCATTCGTGAACCTTCGCCGATGAACTTTTGTACCAGCTCGGAACCAGAGACGCGAATAAAAGTACACTCGGTGTGATGGGCGACTGCTCTTGCCAAAAGAGTTTTCCCCGTACCTACGAGAACAAAATTCGTCGAATTCGTCGACGATGGGACAACGAGAACGTGGCCCGGTGGCCAACAAAGTAACGGTGTTAAATTAAGTGTGTTCGTTGCTTACCCGGTGGACCGTACAAAAGTACACCTTTAGGTTGTGCGATTCCAAGAGCGTCGAACAATTCGGGATGTTTCACAGGCAGTTCGATTACTTCCTTGATCTCTTTAATTTGTTTGTCTAAACCACCGACCATTTCGTACGTCGAGTCTGGTACTTTCTCCACCATCATCAAAGAGACAAGGGGATCGACCTTGTTGGGCAAAATTTTATGCAACGTATAACTCTCGTTGCGTAGCGCGACTCTCGAATTCGGTGTAACATCGTTGATATCAATGTTCTTGTCTATGTCCACCACAAATTTCCCCTCCGGATGAACTTTGACCAAAACTTTCTTTTTGTCCATGGGCTTAACGACTTCGCCGACGTATGAGCCTTGTTCTTGTAAGAGTTGCAGTTCTTCCCGCAACATACGTACTACGGACGAAAGGGCGAAAAGAAAACGATGATAATCTGTTGCGTGAAACGAACGTGCTACAAGTTAATTAGAAATGTACCTTTGGCATTGAGCTCGTTACGTTGCGCTTGTAACCTCCTCAGGTTCTGACTCTTCTCGGCTACGATCAACTGCAGTTCTTCGATTTTAGTGATATAATACGGCTTAAAGCCTTCCCCCTTCAGGGGCTTATCGTCTATGTCCATCTGAAGCAAACCAGAGAAATGGGCAGAAACGATCGTGTAAAATTGTGAAACGAGACGTTCGATAGAACGAATCTCACTCACCTTACTCGGGAGAGTCATTGTAACTGTAGCACTTGCTCACTTACAGATTATCACTTTCCCTGTTGCAATCGTTTTTATATTGCCATTTACTTGTAAGAACAAGGGAGAGAGAAGGAAATTATTAACTTGGCAATTACAAGTTTTGTTACCGTAAGAACTGCTTGTCATCGATACCTATACACTGGTGACCGCTAACGCGAACTCGAACCACTCAAACTCAAACCTCAAACCACTGAAACAGCCGTCTGTCTGCTGCTATCTATGATCCAAGTCCCGGTAGAGGGCTTTGGCGCTCGTGGCGCCATCTAGTGTAAATGGCTGCAAATATATGCTTTGTATTAGGAGAAGGAGTTTATTGGTAGTAAACCGCGCATGCGCGAGAAAACCCGGCCCGTATCTCATCACTGGTTAGAGGTAGCACTAAGAGGTAAGAGGTGCGACCCCACATAACTCCTACCAATGGCGTCACCACCCGGAGATAGTGCTACCTCTTACAATTTATATTCTCCTAATACAAAGTATGTATTTGCAGCCATTTACGCTAGATGGCGCCACGAGCGCCTCGCAACATCACGTGACGTTAGTATAGTATAATTTAGAGAGGCAACGATAGTGCCCTCTACCGGGAGTTGGATATGCGGATGGGTTTGGCGTGGGCTGGGGATGGGCGGCCTGGCCGGTTAATCGGTTAAATTAAAGGTGCGAACCGTGCAGGTATGGTGCTCGATGGCCGATTAAGAATTTATAAAGTAAAATAGACGGCGACGCGGAAATTTATACGGTAGAATGACACGTTGAAGTAACTTTGTAAAAGGCGAATTTGCATGACTTGTGAATTGAAACCGTGTCTTATTTTGTGATTGACATAACGTATAACGTGCAAAGTGCAACGTGAAAGTCCGGCACGTACGCCACGTGACCGCATGGTTTTTAGACGTTGTTCTAAGCAGCATAGGTTAAGGTGAAGACCCGGTTCCACCTGGTTGGCGGGAGATGAATTCCATTCGTAACTCTCACGTGTCTCTCGCATAAACGAAGATGGAATTCGACTTCTCGTTCAATTTCATGCTGATATTCTCTATCTTCTTATCGATACTCGCTACGATAATCACCGTCTACCAAAAACTCAAGTGAGCATTTCTCCCTTCTCGTTCTATTTTTGTTTTTCTCATTGTCGTTGATAACGATCATCAGATTTACACGTATCGGTCATACTTGGGTCGTTTCTCAGATTAAGATGGCCCGTAAGAATGAACTGCTGGTTTTGCAACAACGATACGAAAATTTGGCGGCAACATCTCAATTGGTGGATGTGTCCCCATTGCGAACAATACAATGGTTTCGCCAAGGTAAGATGAATCGTTTCATCGTAATCCTTTATCAAACTACTCGTACGTCGGGAGTAGAAGTTCCAATCCCACCCGGCCTACAGCCTTAAGGATGTATTGGCTATACAGTCAATCCCCAAAGTTTATGTACCTTAGAAAAACGCATTTCCTATAATTAAAAAGAAATCAGACGTCGCAAGAATAATGCTAATAATAAATAGCTACGTGATAAAAAGTATAGAAG